GTTTCTTTAATGTATAGAGCTATTCCTTTTTTCTTTTGAAATGCTAATGCAAAATAAACTTTACCAATTTTCGGTTGTTCTAACAACTTATAATGTTGTCTCTTAATGTATGTTTCTTGAAGACAAATTATATCCATTTTTAATTTTTGTAATCGTGTAAAGATTTTTCTCCTTTTTGAAGGAGAGTTTAGTCCATTTATATTCATTGACAAAATCCCACTCTCCTCCATGTCTTTCAGTTATATCTAGGTCTTAATCTTCTAGTCCAGGTCTTTTAAACCTTTTCACCCATTGTACCACTTTTAGGATATGGCAATATCCGAGTACCACCAGTCGCCTAGCAACGTATCAAAAACTTGATGACTCCCCAAAAAAGGAAAAAAGTGATAAAGTATAGGTAGTCCTCGACTTACAACAGTTCACTTAATGACTGTTCGAAGTTACAATGGCACTGAAAAAAGTGCCCTCCATGCCACAGCCGAGCAAGACACCTGCCCGGCAGAGCTCTTCTTCCTGTCCGAGGTTTTCACTGATGTGAGCATTTCTGTTGAGGATTGGTAGCGGATGTGGGGTGGGGGGGTATTTGGTTTTTATTCCCCACGTCTGCTGGGTGGTTGCAGCAGGTTTTGGTCACTTCACATGACCCAGGGACATTGTGACCATCATAAATATGAATCAGTTGCCAAGCATCTGAATGTAAATCACAAGTCCCTGGAGATGCTGCAACATTCCAGCTGATTGGCGCTTCTTCTGGCCTCAGCAGAAGTACCAGGATCAGTGCTGCTTTCCAGCTGATTGGTGCTTCCTCAGGGCTCAGCAGAAGCACCAGGATCAGCACCAAGCTCCAGCTGGAGCCTGGCGCTGATCCTGGTGCTTCCGCTGAGCCCTGACAGCCCTGCAGCTCCAGCCGTCTCTCGCTCAGGCTTGTGCGATGCTGCCACTGGTTCAGCTCATTCCCCTCCCTTGCTACCACTTTTCTAGGATGGCCGTGTACCACCTGCCAGGTGCCAATGTACCACAGGTGGTACCCAGTACCACTGGTTGAAAAGCCCTGTTCTAGTCGATCTTATCTGTCTCTGATCTCTTGGTCTTGCTCCTTCTTCTATATATGTATTTTTAATTTCTTCCTCCTCTCTTGGTTTGACTGTTCCTTCTACTGCCATTTTTTCCTGTTTCTTTGGTTTTCTCTTTGTACCAGATTCAAAATCACCTCATTCCAGAAATGCTCTATGGTTGTCAAAGAATTCCATTGCTTTAAGTAGCGTATCCAATCTATATCTTTTGGTGTCCCAATAGATTAAAATCCCTTCTGGAATCAGCCATCTGAAATTCACTCCTTTTTCAATTAATTTACTAGTTAGAAACTGGTATTCTCTTCGAGATTCTCTTATTCTCCTAGGAATTTGTTTGATGACTACAATTTCTTTTTCTTTGTATTTCAAAGGTTCATCTCTTATTCTTCTCAGAATCTCGTCTCTTGGAGATCTTTTGAGAAATCTAACATGTACTTCCCTGGGGACTTTTTTTCTTCTAGCATAGTTTGAGTTGACTCAATAGATCGATCTAATTCTCCTTCCATTTCCTGCTTCCCAATTCCTAATGCATCTGCCAATAATTCCATCTAGAAGATCCTCTTCCTTATCTTCCATTATATTTTGAAATCTTAAAAAGTATAAGGCTCTTTCCATCTCCATCACAGCTATTGAGTCTTCTAGTTCTCAATTTATTTGCATCAATTTCTGATTTTCATCTTTTAAGACTTCTAATTTCTGGTCAACCTCAATTGATTTATCTTTTAGTTTTTGGACTTTTTGTTGGTTATCTGTAATCATCTGTTTAAAATTTTCAAATTGAGAGTCACATGTTATTAATTTTTTGATTCATTTTATCAAAATCACTTTTCATCTCCTCATGGTTCTCGTTATTACCGCCATTTGAATAGCACTTGCCTCTTGAATTGCTTGTAATGTCACTTGAGTTTCCTTTTGGAAGTTATTAGCCTTTTCTTGTTGGAGTATTGTATCAATTGATCTCTGATAGACTAGACTTACAGAAACAGAAGAGGGAGCAGAAGTTCCTTTTTTTCTAACTTTAGATAGATTGGGGACGTTCATTTTTATCTTTTAATCATACTTTATAATCCACCAAGTAAATCAAAATTTATAATCCAATGGGCTCCTAACAAATAGGAGAAGTAAATAATAAAAAATAGTAAGTAGTAAAAAAAAGAACAAAAGGGAAAAAAGAGAGAAAAAAAGAAAAAAATATATACCAAAATTTGTAATCCAAAGTTTTCTCTTAGAAGAAATTTCTTATTATTCACTCTTTCACAACAGCTTGTAAAAATTCCAGGTCAAGTTGTATTTGTAATCCAGGGAAGTCAGATGACTTCAAAAACAATTTTTATTTATAATTGTAATCCATCCTGTAGAAAAGGGCAATCCAAAAAGAGTCTTCTCTTTTTCAGCCACAATCTTCAAGACTATAAATTCTAAGGACACCAAAGTATTTAAATTATAAGGTGTGTTGGGCATCCAGCCAAGTTTTAAAACTCCAATCAAAACAACTTAGTAAGATAAAAAAAATAACAAGGTTAAATGGTAGCTCTCAATTTTGCCACTAGATGTCATTAGGCGTCCATTCCCACCATACTTTAAAAAAGTTAAAATCCGATGATTTCCAAACGGAGTAAAAAAATATTTATAAATGCAAACATTTCCAAAATTATCCTTTTATGCCTCAGTTACCTTCACAATATTGTTATAAGTCAGTTTTAATTTCCCCAAAGCTTAAACCGCCGCTTATAGTTCAGGAGGGAGGGGTAGAACCTCCCCTGAAGCTTAGGGATTTCTTGCTTTTGAGTGTTTTTTTCCCAGAACCGGTCGCTTATAGAGAGGTAAGGAAAGTAGTCTCACCTGAATCAGCTGTTTTGCTTTCCGCTTGTTTATATTCTTTGTCTCCAATGATCAGCAGCTTCTGGCTGACTGCATGGGTGTGGTCAGCCTTTCTTCCTGCCGGTCCCGAGGGCTCTTTTGGATCAAGCGGGACAGCTACCACTGGCCCGCAATCTGCAAAATTTTACCCTTTGGCCAGTCGCCTCTACGGGGCGACTTTCGGTCCTCTTGGACCCTCCAGCTGGTAGAAATCGGGCTTGGGGAACGGATCTTCATTCCCCAGCACCCATGTGCAGCAACATCACTGGAAACTTTTCGCCTCTCCCCCCCACCCCCCCCAAATATTATTGTTAATTCACTGTCTTAAGCAGTATTCTTACTTGGGAAGATAATTTCTCTTCAAAAGTATGGCCTAGTATAATCATATAATTGTTTTGAAAACTACATATTTTGATTTAAAATGTTAAATCAATTACTAGATTATCTACCTGTTAATCAGATGACTATTTCAGTTCAAAATTATTAATGGTTGCTTATATAATTGATTATAATTTGAACATATTTGCTTAGTCTAGGTTGAAATGTCTGCTCATACTTACCAGCTGAATTGTCAAGATTTATGGATTTAATTTACTTGCTGCAGCACAGTGTCTCCTTGGCAAGTGGGACAGATGTATCTCCTTCTGTCATTTTAATATTTAGAGCACAATATTTATATTTTGAATTTGCTGGGCTGTTCCTATGTTCCGGTCTCCCAGGTAGTCTCTTGCCTAGCAAGTTAATCTGTGCTTTTGGCTTCATCATTCAAACACATAGTAGCTGCCAAGTGAGTCTTGATTGCTTGCTTGAACTGGCCAGCATTCCTTCTAGCTAGCCAATGGGAGATTGCAAAAATGTAAATCAGCCAGTCCTTCCTTTCTTTGCTTTTTACCTTCCAAAACTCATATTTGTGGAAAGATAAAGAAAAGCAAATTGGCCAATGCTTTAGTAAGGAAACATTGTGTGGGGAAAGTATGACGAAGAAGAATCCCAAAGGAACAGTGGGTTGAAGTAGGTTTCATCAGGGGGCAATAAGTCTGCTGTAACTCCAGAGGAAGCACTATAACAATTTTGCAGTGTTTGCTTTGGAGCAGAATCTGAACTGATGAATTTGGAGGGTTTGACTTGGTTTTCCTCACAGCACTGTCAGGATATATAAGGACAGCATAAATTTCAGAACTCGTCTATTACTTGTCATAGAGACTTGAAAGCAGCTCTAGAGTGTCAGTGCACTGTTGTAAATGGGTCTTTTGCAACTTCCTCAGCAGTTCACCCCCACAATATCTTACACTTTGTTTTATATCAAAGTATTTTTATAAAGATGAATGGGAAATAGTCATTGGATATGGATACTGATGGCTACTTTTAGCTATTTCTGATTGCCACTGAGACTGTGGCTTTATATCAGGGGTGTCAAACTCAATTTCATTGAGGGCCGCATTGCAGTTGCCTTCGGGAGGGGCGGGTGGGTGTGGCCAGAATGGGTGTGGCTACTGGGTGGGCGTGGATGGAGTGGGTGTGGCCTACTGGGTGGGCATAGCCAGCTGTACATCATTCGCATCAAGGGTGCCTGTGGGGGCCTGGGCAGGAATGGGACAAATCTGAGAGTCTCTGGCAGAAGGGGGTGGGACTGGGGCAAGCGCCAAGCCATGGTGCATTTCTTCATTCCTCACAAAGGGTGACACCTCCCCAGCATGCACTCGGGGCGGGGCCAACGTGGCAGGGGCTGGTTCCTCAGTGTTTCTAGACGGCCTTGTGGCGCTAAGGCTGAATGCGTTTCAGCATAGATGGCCACTACAAAATTGTACATTGGCTCCCGGCCGGCCAGGGCCATTCCCTCATTATTTCCAGGGTGGCTTCGCGGACCACATGAAACCACTTCGCGGGCCGCATCCGGCCCCTGGGCCTTGTGTTTGATATGTCTGCTTTATATGCACACACAACCCCCCCACACACATAGATACAAACCTTGCAGGAAGTGGTGATGGTTGAGTTTTTATTGCATTACAGATCAGTGGATCTATGATATTTGAAAATATAGTAAGTTGCCTTTGCCCTTGTCCTTAGGTTTTAAAAGACTTGATGGCACTATTGAATGTTGTAACAACAATAGCCTCACAGATGTTTGCTTTTCATATAGTAATAAACTGAACAGCCATATGGTAAGTTTTTATATAAATAGATGAGAAAAGTACATGTTTTCTGAATTCAATAGTATACAAACTAGTTTTATGTCAGAATTATTGTATTTGAAATTAAAAATAATAAAATGAATGATATGAAAAATGGATGTGCATATTTTTCATTTAAAAACACTGTCTCACACTTGAATGCTCTAGCTAACTTTTCTCAAATGTTAGGGTTGGCAGAAATAACAGGATGTTGCAGTAAATAAGATTTGATAGATATAGAGCAAAACTAAATTGCTTAGTTTTAATGCTAATAACCACATTATTGTGCTGAAATGGCGTGTTCATATTTCTTTAAAAATGCCCTTTTTACTTCCAATATTAGAGAACATATGTTCTTCAGGATTGAAGGTTCTATACATAATAACCACCTTGTAACTAATATATATTGTTAGCCTAGTTGATTGGGGAAATGTAGACACAGTATATCTTTACCTTACCAAAGCTTTTGACAAAACCTCTCATGGCATCCTTATTAAGAAAATGGCCAAATATAGGTTTGATAATTCCACAGTTGCCTCAAGGTTCATACTCAAAGTGTAGTTATAAATACTGTCAAATCTACCTGGAGAAACATCTCAAGTAGAGTGTTACATCAGCGCTTTTATCAATGACATAGAAGAGGGAGTTGAAGGAATGCTTACCATTTCATAGCTATCTTCAAATATCTGAAAGCATACTGAGCAAAATTTGTATATAGTAACTTTTAAAATATATTTTAAAACCAGATGGCCAAAGATAGAATTATGGAGTTGGAAGTGACTTAAGAGTTCATCAAATCCATCCTCCTTCATACTGCAGGATTTACTCCACCATCCCTGATAGCTGTTTGAAAACCTCCAGTGAAGGGGAAGAAGCCACTACATGTAGTAACTTATCCTATTGAAAGATAATTCTTACAGCGAAGAAATACTTCCTAATGTCTACATCCTTAACATTTCATCTTATTAGCTTTACCCTCTGAAGGAAGAAGTCTGAACCTTCTACAATGCGACTGCTAGAGCAGTAGTGGATGAAAAAGCTATGGACCTGTTCCCAGTGTTCCATCCTAAAATGCATAGGCCCATCACATCACTCTGCTCAATTATATAACTACCAAGGAACCCAATACACAGTTTACCAAAGAACTCACAAAAAAGTTGGACACCTAGTAGATGGGATAAATATCAATTCTCCATTTCAGTGCTTCCAGGACCTAACTATTCAAAAGAGGAAATTATGGTTTCACTCTTCACAATCATAGATCCAGAATAGCAAAGGAATCTGTTGCAATACCACATACCAAACTGTACAGAGAACAGAATAATTGAAATACCCAGGCTTATGGAACTTAATGACCTTTGCCTCATCTCTTCCAGTTCAACTATATACAGAAAAATCAGAAGTAACACCCATGGAATCTCCCCTCTGAGGATTCATGAGACTGTAATGCTTAGAAGAAATAGCCTTCCTGCATGGAGAACCCAACTATAGATCCATTCTGTAGATGACACTTTTATTATAATTAAAGTATTATAATTGAAAAGACACATGAGACAACAATATCTGTAAAGGAATAAAAGAAGAAGAACAAATTACTACTCTCCTCAGCAGAAGAAGCAATTAAAGACTACAAATCCAGGTTATTGAAAAGCAATCCATAGTGTCCACAAGCAATATTGTCCACAAAAGGAAGATGAGCAAATGCATGTTGCAGTATCTGGAACCTCAAAAAGAGGAAACAGATTATATGTACAATATCTTTTAACATAACAGACAACCATACAACTTCATTAAAAAGTGCTTGGCTATATAACCTATATAGCAACAAAACCGTAACAACCTATTTTTTTTTTAAAAAAATCCCTATATACTTATACGTCTGGGGCAACCAAAAGGCAATTACAACTTCTCAATATCACTGTAGCATTTAAACCAACAAAATCAGTCCAAAGCATCTTAAGGAAACCTAAAGACACAGGCATTAAAGAAGGCCATCTGAAACATACTGTATGATGTAAGACGTATGCTGCAGAGACATGTAGAAGATTGGCAGAATGCATCCACAAACATCATGTTGTAATCAGAAGACATGATGAAAATCATTAATACCTCAGCACACAGACAAATTGAACCATAATTTCAAGTGGGAAACTTGATACTATACATTAAACTAAATCCAAAAGTGCTGGGGAATTCCTAGAATTCAGACATAACAGCTATCAGCCGACCCATAAAGTCAGTCTATACCATGCAAAGGATATAACCTAGTCAAAGAAGAAGCAAACAGCACAGAACACATCCTTGCTAGCAATCAACATCCTAGTAAGAAGGGTACAGCATCACACAAATAGTCCAAGAAGAAACAATACCATAATAAACCATGAAGGAAGAAAGACTAACAGCCAGCCAATTCCACTCTCCCATTCATTTGATTATGTTACCTGGTAAGGAAATGCCTGCAAGAAAGCAGCCTAGTTCAGCAAGCCAAAGAGCCCAACACTTTTTATCTGTCCAGTCCAATGGTTCTATATTTCCCAACTCTCTTTTAGTTGGATTTTTCTCTCATCTCTCCTTAATGTTTCCTCAGGTAATTTATTTAGCCATTCTGCCACTTGGAATATAACATTATGTTTCTAACATATTGTTGCATTTACAGCCATAGTACTTTTGAGATACTGCCTGGAAATTGTGGAACTTTTAGTTTTGTAGAGCTCGTAGAAGTCTCATTCTGAAGAAGTGGTAATGAATATGTAAAATAACTACAATGTAGTTCTCTTGTTTTCCATCTAGCTTGTCAAGACCTACATATAGTATATGTTTCTCAATGGCATACATTTAATACTTATTTAAATTTCAGACCCAGTATGCTTGCTTGCCAGCACGGAAAACTATTGAGGCCAGTGAGCTCTGTCAAACAAACAAAGATTGCCTAAAGTATTTTATCCCAAGTACGTGTGTGACCCCTTCCTTGGAAAATCAAACCAAGCTCATAAGGGTGAAGCATCCTCCTCAAATTGATATGCTGTTTGTTGGTCATCCACTGCATCTCCAATATACAGGTATGTATGATTTGGTGAGGATGCTAACAGAATCTGAGCATGTAAAATACACAACATACAGATTACAGTTGGCTGATTCTTTCTTTCTTTTCTTTCTTTCTTTCTTTCTTTCTTTCTTTCTTTCTTTCTTTCTTTCTTTCTTTCTTTCTTTCTGTTTATCAGGCATTATGCAGTTTTATTGCTGCCCTATTTCCACAGTAATCAAATTTATATATTTTCATTTAGATTATATGCATATGTATTTGGTCATGTATGCAAAATAAATATATGTACTTCAGTTACAAAAAAAGCTTACCTCAATATGAAGCTTATTCTGTAGGCATGCATTTCATAAACTGAAAAATAATATTTTATACATGTGTATGTATGTTGATCATTGGTTCTTAACTGAAGCAGGAAAAGTTTGGGAAACTGGCTTAGGAATATGAAAATATTGCTACAAGACGTTCTAATAAATGCTTTTGCATAGCTTCTTTTGTCATTTACTGTTATTTCAGTATTTGATAAAAGTTTGTCTTAAGATACTGAGTCCTAATTTGGTCAGGAAATTAAGGAGGTTTCTTAATCTGAATGTATATAGACTTTTTTGAATTTCATAAAAGTTTATATTTTCAGCTTTAAACCACTGACATCAAAAACAAATCTCAACACAGATAATATTTTTAATATTTAGCCATAAATATAATGGATTCCTTTTATAGATAATTCTTGACTTATAACTTAGCAACTGTTTGAAGTTATGATGCATCTCCATGGAGTATTTACAACCTGTTTCCAATGGCCAGGTCCCTGTGCTCATGTTCACCTGACTGCATTTCGAGTGCTTAGTAACTAGCCTGCATTTATGGCAGTTTCAAGTGTCCTGCAGTGACCTGACTGTGTTTTACAACATTTTTGCCAAACTAGGCATTTACTTCTGTTTTTCGGCAAAAATGCCCATTAAGTGAACCATTGTTTTGCTTAGTAACCATGAAGTTCACTTAATGAGTGCCGCAAAAAATATCATAAATGAGTCTATTCAAGCTATGCCCCATTTTATGACCATTATGACTTATAACCATGATGGGAAGATTCCAATACAGTCATAACTCAAGGACTACCTGTACTTGTTCACTACAGATAGTCCTCTACCTGACCACAATTGAGCCCAAAATTTATGTTGTTAAAGAGTTTTGCCCCATTTTACGACCCTTCTTGCCACACTTGTTAAGTGAAGGATTGCAGTTGTTAAATTAGTAACACCGTTGTTAAGTGAATCTGGTTTTCCCATTGACTTTGCTCATCAGAAGGTCACAAAAGGTGATCATATGACTCCAGGACATTGCAATCATCATAAATATGATGTTGTCAAGCATTCAAAAGTAAATCATACGACCATGGGGATCTTGCAATGGTCATAAGTGTGAAAATGGTCATAAGTCACTTTTTTCAGTGTCTTTGTAACTTTGAACAGTCATTAAATGAACTGTTGTAAGTCGAGGACTACCTGCACTTTATGTAAGTAACACATACTTAGGGACATGAATGCTATAGGCAGTTGATATGGAACATATTTCCTGTTCTTGTCTTTAGTTTTCTTCTACTAAAATACACATGTAATGTTCAGATGCAAAGATCAGCTGCATATTATTCCTCTATACTGTAGACACTTGATTCTAAAACAACAATAAGTGTATTATGTGTTAGACTTGCTGTTTTCACAAAATATAGACTAACTATGAATGTGGCATAGTTATTGAAGTGATGTTACCATATATCATGGGGAATGAAACAAAAAGTTGTATCCGTTGTGAACAGAGACTTAGACATGATTTGTGTTGAAATGCTCCTTGATTTTGTAACAAACTTAGAAAATTCTTTCTTTGTTTAAGTGAGCCTCAGCAGCTTTGTACCTCGATACAGCTTTCTAACTTTGGACCTTCCTTTAATAATGGAAACATTTTGCAAGTATCCTTTCATATTTGTGTGAACTTTTTGAGAGAAGACACTGGGAGTATCTGTCATGCATATAAAATATCCAAGGGCCACAGCCATTTGATTTTTACCTTTTGAACAGCCTCTTCTAACTTATTTTGCATATTTTGCCTGTTTAAGGGGGGTGGAAGCTATTGGCTATGATGTAAGATTTTGATTTAAACAATCCAGCTGCAGGAAACAGTGAACGTAAAAATATTACCTAATATTTTCTGCACATATTTTTATATATATAAAATGTTAGCATTAAATCTTTAAAAAGCCTGAATAAATGAATTTGTTTATTTATTAAATTTATAACGCAGATAACTCCATAACAACTCTTGTCCAAGGGAAGTAGGCAAAACAGCCTAATTATTTTCTGTTTGAAAAAACAATTTGCTGTCTAGAATGCTGACTTCCTTTTATGACAAGAAATAGATTAAGCATGTGGCTTAATGACTAGATTTCAAAACATTCTGGATAAAGATATGGAAACAAGCTGCACTTGTCAAGTTGAGTGTTAAGATCACATACCACACACTTTGGGGTTTCCTATAGCTGGGCTTTTCAACCTTTTCACAGATTGTACCACTTTTAGGACATAATAATATTTGAGTACCATCAGTGCTTAGCAAGGTGTCAAAAACTTGATGATTAAAAAAAAAGGGGGGGATTTTGGATTTTACTTATTAGATTCATTTGTTGTTATAGAAGTGACTAGTTTATAATATTATGGAAAAGTAAGATGTTGAGGTTTAGTGTTAATGCTTCCTTCTACTGCAACAGAGGAAGTCTGTTCTTTTTCCCTTCTCCCCCTCACTTTCCCCCCTTTCTCCTCCCCACTGTGTCCTACTATTTGCTTTTGTGTTTTTGTATTTTATTCTATAATCTAATAAAATGTTACAAACTGTAGAAAAAAGGAAAAAAGTACCAGTTTTAATTTCTTCGGTGGCAGTTCCTTTGCTGAACCACTTTCCCTTTGCAATGACAAATGTATGATGAATTTATTCATATTTATTAATATGCACCACTACCAGCTGGTTGGTCGGCCTTTATTCCTCTCTCCCTCTCCTCTTCTTCTTCCCTGCTTCTGAGCTCTCTTTCCACAGTGTAATAAGAATGTACCCCCCAGTCCCTTGATTGTACCCCTAAAGACACAGGAATCAAGCACAAAGCAAAGAAAGGCTCACAGAAGCCTCCCAGAATAAAGAAACACTGACTACTTTTTTTTCCTTTAAGCTTCCCAGGGGTTGCCTAAGACCATTGGAAAACACATATTTCCAATGGTCTTAGGAACTTAGTCTAAGATACGCGGCGGTGTTCTTTTGCATCCACCTTGCGATCGGGGAATGGCTTTAAAGGCTCTCCGTGTGGTCCCAGATGTCCTTCGGCTGAATCAAACAGGAGCGCTTTTTCCAGGGAAGCCTTTTCACAGCCGAGCTGGTCTCTCCTCGTATTCTGCAGAGGAGTCGGCGCGATATTGCTCGGCTTTGCCCCACAAATCGCGGAAGGTCGGCTTAGTCCGAATGCTTCCCGGGTGCAGGAAGGCACCGATTGGTGCTAACCAGAGTCGGAAACTTCCTCCGCTGCCCCAATCGCTAGTTCTGGCAGGCTCAGTGGGAATCACCTGCGCTAGATGGGAGCGACAAGAACGGGGGGGGGGGAGCAGAGGACTGCCTGCAGGGTGAGGAGTTTTCTACCCTTCCAAGACTGTCCACCTGTTGGGCAGCCAAAGCAGCAGCAGCTCCAGTAGTCTTTGCCTGAAAAGGTGAGAGGCAGCCCCGCAGAACAGCCCTTCCCCTCCTGCCACCAATTCTCCTGGCTGCTGTTCCCCCACCTACCCCTGCCAAGTCCTGCCCTGTCAGAGAGCCCCGGATTCCATGCAGGCCCAGCAGAGCCAAGTGGAAGGGAAAGCCGTTGATCTTCATTCAGGCAGGCCCAAAGTTCTCTGAAGGACGTTCGGTTTCATTCTGGCTCAGGGAAGCATCGCTCCCTCAGGGGGATCGTGATTTCCGGCAAGCGGCCAGTTATCGAAGGCCGGCTTCCTCCTATTTTCCTACCACCCTCTGCGCGCATCCCCCCCAACTCTGAGCCCCCTCCTCTCTTCCATCCTTTACCTCTTGCCCTGTGGTGCGGTTGATGCCCTCTGCTTTTCCTCGATGGCTAAAGACAACTTTGCTTGCTCAGAGCTTTTTCGTCTCTTCCCACGGCAGCTGATTCCCCTCCTGTCCTCTCCTCTGTGATCCCTGCAGCCCACTGTAAGAAAGCACATACCGTATATGCTGGCGTATAAGACGACTTCTGGAAGCGCTAAACTCGGCGCCAAAGACGGGGGTCATCTTATACGCCGAGTCGTCTTATACGCCGGAAATACTGGTAGTTTCCGGCGTATAAGATGACGTTCTAGGAAGGCAATAAAGATGGGGGTCGTCTTATACGCCGGGTCGCCTAATACGCCGGCATATATGGTACTTTTTGATTTCTGCTGCTCAATCCCTCCTCCCCCCCCCTTGATGGCTTCCTACTTGTGGGATGCAGGGGAAGGGAGCGCCATTTCATTACAGGTGGGAGAAGGAAAACTGGTCCAGGCAGTGAAAAGGGAAGAGATCAAGGGGGGGGGGGCTTTGGAGATGAAAGCTGCTTTGGGTGGATGTTTTGGTCTGCAGCATGTGTTTCCCTTTCCCCTCCTGCCTGCCTTTTCTGTTTCTCTGGAAAGCCGGGAAGTGGGGGGGTCAAAATGAATCTGTTCCTAGTGTGGAATCAAGAAGCTCCAAGGGGCCTTTTCTTGCAGTTGCTGCAGTAATGCCCCCCATTCTTCCTGCCCTGGCTGCTGCCCCAAAAGCAGTTGATTATTGCTCAGTGGAACCAGCAGTGGGGTGGGAGGAAGGAATGGATTTCCCTTCTGCTGCCTCTGCCTCAGTGGACAAGACCTCCTTCCAAAAATCTCTCCTAAGATTCTGGCAGGCACAGCCCCAGAACTGAGCTGCTGACTGAGCTGGGGTGGGGAGCTGGGGGGAGAAAAGAAGACCAGCTGAAATGACCCATTTTCTGAATCACATAATACTAGAAGAATAAAGGGGTTATATTTCCATAATTCACTAAGACTGCACACAAAAAAGCAACATTGACATCAAATTTAATGTAATCAAGCTTCATAAGTTGCACAAATGCAGCCATTCTGGTTTAATCCAATCTGCTTCAGCTACTGTAAACACAGGCTGTCAGTATAACTATAATACTGAAATTATACCAGTATAATTTGTAACAATGAAAATATATCCTGCATATCATATATTTACATTATAATTCATAACAGTAGCAAAATTACAGTTATAAAGTAGCAACGAAAATAATTTTATGGTTGGGGGTCACCACAACACGAGGAACTGTATTAAAGGGTCACGGCATTAGGAAGGTTGAAAACCACTGGTTTAAACAATGTAGCAACCAAAGCCTAAAGGGCTGCAGCAACTGCGAAAAACGATAACCTTAAATTAAGCCTGTTTACCTACAAAGCAAACTTGCTAAAAGCCAGACTCAGGGGGTAAAACTAATTACACTTGTTTAAAGCACAGGTCGGCAACCTGCGGCTCCGGAGCCGCATACGGCTCTTTGAGCCTTCCCCTGCGGCTCCCAGCCTCCTCTGCCTTTGCAGAGAGAGACAGAGACAGAGAGAGGAATTGCGCTTCCCTGCTTCTCTCTCTCTCTCTCTCTCTCTCTCTCTCTCTCTCTCTCTCTCTCTCTGTGTGTGTTTGTGTGTGTGTGTGTGTGTGTGTGTGTGTAAAAAAGAGAGTGCACTCACAGTGTTCTCCGAGGAGCTGAAAAGCTTACTGGGCGGAGCTCTTCCCTTTGCTGCGTCTCTGCAGGAAGCAGGAAGGGCAGGAGAGAGCTAGCTAGCCCAGCTAGGCTGACTCAGGAATTCTGGGAGTTGAAGTCCATGAGTCATAAAAGAGACGAGGTTGCCTACCCCTGATCTTGTTGGACAACAGCTTGAAGCTTGTCAGGTGAGCAGCAGATAGGAGGGGGGGGGGAAAGAGAGAAAGAGAGAGAGAGAGAGAGAGGAAAGAGAGAGAGAGAAAGAAAGAAAGCGGGGGAAGAGGAGTGGCAGACCAAGGGCAGATGGAGAGGGAGAGAGAGAGAGAGAGAGACCCTTTTGACATCTAAAATGAAGATAACACTGCATATATCCTTTTTTTACCTCTGTGTGTGTGTGTGTGTGTGTGTGTGTGTGTGTGTGTGTGTGTGTTTGGGTGTATGTATATGTATATATATATACATATATATACATATACATATATATATATACACACACACACATACATACACACACACAAACACACACACACCTATAATAAAGGTAAAAAAGGATATATGCAGTGTTATCTTCATTTTAGATATCAAAATGGTTTTGCGGCTCCCAGTGTTTTGTTTTTGGTGGGAAACGGGTCCAAGTGGCTCTTTAAGTGTTTTGGGTTGCCTACCCCTGGTTTAAAGGGATTAAACCTACGGAAGCCAACACTTTGGACTCATTGCTAGCCTTTGTGAAACCGAGTAAAACATTCCAATAACCAAAGCACACAAACCGAGCCTCTGAATTACAAAACGCTGTAAAAACTGTATAAAAATCCTTATGGTAACCCATTCAAGCTGCCAGTTGCCCAGGAACCAACTGGCTTCCGAAATAAACCAACCTCCTTTCCGACATGCTGGTGTCCCAGCTTTTCATTTTATCAGTGTCGATTGCATTCTTCTGGCTGGAGAAAACGAACCAGGGGACCTTTTCTTCCAGCAACAGCTTCTTCTTCCCTGTCTCTTTTTCCTCCCTGCCTGCTGAGTACTCCTTCCACAGCTTCTTCTCTATCCCCTTCTCTTTCCCTGTTGTCACTTTTTTCCCCTTTCCTGCCAAAACCACCTTTTATATCCTCTCTTCTCCTCCCCTCTTTTTTTCTTCAGTTCACCTCCAGCTACATGCTGCTTCCAGAAGCACCAATCAGCTGGAGCCCTGCCAGTGGTCCTGGGGCTTCTGCCAAGCCCCAACAGTCCTGTAGCTCCAGCTGCTTCTCCCTCAGACTTGGGTCACTTCAGCTCATTCCCCTCCCCCACTACATGTGTCTAGGAGAGTTGCGTACCACCTGCCACGTGCCAAAGTACCACTGGTGGTATGCATACTACCGGTTGAAAAGCCCTGTCCTATAGCATGTCCAGGACTGCTTGAGTCCAATCAGGGATTCCATTGGTAGTGGGATAGTCAATATAGCTATGGAAACATGATCTTCACTTCAGCCATTTAAAACAAGATACATTTCTTTCAGTGAAAATCTGGAAAGGGAGATAGAAACCATGTAGATTATAACCTGGGTAATTAGGTCTGCACCACTCCTGCGCAGAGTACCAGGACAACTTGGGGACTCATAAAGGAGACCTTGCCCCATTCTGTTTGGCTTCTATAATATTAGAAGCTTTTCACATCTTTAAGCCTATAGGAACAAGGTCACTACAAGCACAGGTAGTCCTTGCTTAATGACTGCCTCATTTAGTGACTTTCATCATTTGTATGAGAATTGAATAATATACTGTATATTCTAATATGTTGCAACAGCATGTAGCTATTGCAACATTAGAATATACAGTATATTATTCATGTAGCTATTGCTGAGAATTATAAACATGACTATAGTGTTTTAGATTATCCATTTCCAAGTTAGAATATCTCTTTTTTAAACATTAAATAAAACATGCAGGCATTTTTTAAAATTATTAATTTATTAAAGATGTATACTACCAATAACTGGTGTAATGGCAGACTAGTTTTTTATGACCACTTGTGGGGAAAATATAATGTTGTCTAACTTTTATGTCCGTCCTCAACATGTTTTTTCCTTATGTAAAGTCTCTTCCTTTATCTTGTATAAAAATACATTTTACAACTAGGACCTTAATGATTTTGGTTTTTGCTATCAATAAAGAATTATAAAGAATAAATAAAAATAATATTAGTTCAGTTAAATTGCTATGTTCCCAAATTTATATGTGTTTTTAAAAAATGACCATGATCGTGCACCTTAACAAGCTTAAACAGATATCTGATTTCACTCTCTGGAGCACTGGCTGTTGTTAATGCAATTCCCTGTTTTGCTTTGGATGGCCAATGGATATTGAATTCTTTCTTGGAAGCTACTGCTAGCAAATTTATTGTTGAAAAGCAAAACAGGGAGCTTCTTGGCTTCTTAATTTTACTTGCTGGCAGTGCACTCTTGGCTGCTAATGTGGCCCTGGGACTCTGGATTGTGACAGCACGATAACATAATAGCACATTTTGATATCATTTATGATGCTGATGCAGAAAACATTGAAATATATCACCTTATAAAATGACAGTTGGGTGGGTCAATGGAAAGAAAAACAGCTTTACTCGTTTTAAGAATGTGTCCATAGATACTTTCAGACATGTTTCTTGTTACCTTTGAAGCCCTCTGACCCTGCCACTTGACCATACTCAGCATTGATTTATAGAGGCTCCTATAGCTTCAGAGGCATTATCAGGAAATGGTGCTCGGAGCTCAGTGATTAACTCTGCAATTCATTTGATTGTGTGTCAAAGCCAAAATGAAGAAAATGGGACACTATTGCTACTTAGCAAGCTTTGACATGTTAGGAACAATATAGAAGGGTGACATAGTAATTAATAGAAAAGTGTGACATATCCCTAGTTTTGGTTTGGTATCAGTTTGGCACCTAAATATTGATCCCACACTGAGAAATAGATGAAATCCAGCTCCCCCCCCCAAAGTCTTTCTCTCCTCAAATCACATTTGCAAAGATAGAAATGGTGAAAGCCCGGTTGCACCTTTATAATTCCAAGAGTCATTAGGAAAGTGGCATTAGTCTTTAAGCATTCTGATTTGTTGGCTAAATTCAGAGAATCATAGAGTGTTATTCTTTATTGGGTAAAGCAATGGTATGCCTTTTCTCCTATCTTACTGTGCTCTGACAACTTTTCCTTAGTTTCATCAAATATTGATGATAAATGGAAGACTGTCATTTTCCAATAAACTTCTTCTATAGCTATTGGTTTGGTTTTAGAAGAAATTTCCTATTACACCTTCCTTACCTGCCTATCCACATGATTATACTGTTATCTTTTGTGTATTTGAATTGATAGTTCTTCAGTACTGGACTTTGGAGAGGAATACGCCAAGTACTTATTTCTGTTTTCCTGGACTGGGGTAAAGAGACAAGGCCAGCCTAGAAGAATTCAAGTGGACAACAATAATGTGTTAGAAAGTTCAGCCTAGCTGGTGGCTTGCTATCATAATTAACTTTTACTACTGAATTTCCCTGAGGTCCCTTTGCATTTTTAAACAAGAAATTATACTGCAAAGTGACCATGGCCATAGGGATAGAGTGCCAAGATTGCTGAAATTGTTAAGTGAAGCAATGGAACGGTTCTGGGGGGAAAAATAAGTGAGAGTGTTGAATAAATATTATTGCCAAATAGTATGTTTTTAGACAGTTGACTTGGGGTTGACTTTCCTTTTAATGCAGAATCAAAATATGGTTTTGGGGCTCAGGCTATCTTTGACTTGTATTTAGGACTGTCAGTGGACTGCTTTCTGTGAATGTAAACAGCATATTTATGAATGGATTTCTGTTTTATTATACTTGTATACTTCCAAATGAGCATAAACTGAAAAACCAGGTATATTAACTCGTAATTATAAGCAATTCAAGACTTATTTCTTGAAAATTAAAGATTTTTTTCGTTTAGTATTTTTTTTTAAACAAATATGCACTTACTTCCCATTCTCAGGTAAGCTTATTCATAGATGGATGGATTTTAATGGCATGTCTTTAAGTAACGTGAATTATGTATCGGTGGATATACTCTTCACTGTGTAAACTTTTGTGTTTGTGTTTTGTCAAGCCTTAATATGAATTTTGAATTATTTGACATGATTTTTCAGAAAGAAATGACTATACATTTTGTTGATGGTTAAAAAATATATGTAATATTTTGCTGAAAGTTCAGAGCTGATAATCATATTTCAAGTATATTGTAGGATTCTTTTTGCAAATGCTACTGCTCATTTTGTTTTCCTTTGTAAATTGTTCTGTTTGTGTATGCTCTCATTTTTCATATTTTCATACATTTGTAGTTTTAATTCCAGCCCCAGCTATTCAGTTTTGTATCAGTTTTACATATGGAAAATGACGATGTCATGATGATGGTGTTTCAGTGTTCTTGGGACTACCTAGAGAGCTGTTTACAACAAAATTCTTATATGGTTAGGAAAACTAGAAAAGGCCTCATTGGCATTGCTATAAATTGCTGTTCTGAGCCTGAAACATGAGAAAAATGGTGAATTTCTATTTTGTAAAATATGTACTACAAAGATATATACTACAAAGAAAAATAATGTGGATAAGGAAAGGTATTTTTCACAGCTTCAATGGGAAAGACTTCCTGATAGAATAGGCACATATACATCTAGATATAAGTCTAAAGTAAGGGCCATTGATAATTTATAGTTCATTACTTTAAAAACTTATTTATAAACTAGGGTTTTAAATTCAGACTGATTGTAGAAACCTTAATTTATGAGTTATCCTAAACATACTCAAGGAATAAGTTTCACTGAGTTCAGTAAATATTTATTTTAAGCAAACAAGCTTAGGGTTGTGCTGCACAATTATAGTAATGATCTTTTGTGAAGCTTCTAGGTTCGTGTAGATATTATATATTTATTTTAATGAAGAATCTAATTATGATTATTGTAACTGTATGTATGTCTCCTGTATTAGATTATAAAATACAATTTTTATTTATTTCAAGCTATCTTTTTCCAAAGCTTATTTGCTGGTTTGCAGATCTGTTACTTTAGCTATTGACTATTTTGTAGTTAGACAAATAACATACTCTGTAAGTTCTATTGTTATAAATGTAAATTAGTCTTACATTGTCTTACTGATAAAACAAACATACTTTAAAAGCTATTAACTATCAAAGGAGATAACTGTACAGATAGTCCTCAACTTACAGCAATTCATTTAGTGACCATTCAAAGTTACATTGGCATTGAAATAACCATTTTTCACACTTGCAACTATTGCAGCATTCCCATGGTTATGTGATCAAAATTAGATGTTTGGCAACTTGCTCATATTTATGACGGTTGCTAATGTGATTACTTTTTGTCACCTTCTGACCAGCATAGTCAATGGGGAAGCCACTTATTTGTGTTACTAATAACTGCAGTGATTCACTTAACAACTATGTCATGAGAGATTGTAAAATGGGCCAAAAGTAACTTAACCTTTCTTGCTTAACAATAGAAATTTTGGGCTCAGTTGTCATAAATCAAGGACTACCCTTATATGGGTAGTCTTAATATTATTGTAATTTCTGACCATTGAAAGTTATTAGCTTTTTCTCCATATTATACAGACAGACACATGAGAGATTAATTCTCAATTTGAGTCTGAATTCAGACTTGATTCTTAACATCTGGGGCTGCAATAAAATTAAGCTTGCTTCTGAATAAACATGAATAAAAATAACATTTGGATACTAAAAGGCCACATGGAGAGTCTTAGTATTTCTTTTAATTGTAATCAGCAATAGAAAAAAGCTGCCAAGAGTAAGTCTGGAGATGGGCAAGGCTGAAGTCAAATAAATAACATACTTCAATAACTTCTAATTAGTAATATTTATTTCAAACAAAGTTGGAATGAGGACTATGGTGTATGAAATATTTTCAAGGTGTTTTTCAACAATATCTGAAATGGTTTTCAACTGCTTTGAGGTAAATGTTTGAATAATATTTAACTTCCATGCCAATAGGTACGGCATTTCTGTCCATAGTAATTAAATGAAGGTGAAAAAGTTAAGACTCATTTTTATAAAGAAAACTTCAGTACTTTGACAGAAAAATAAAAACAGATGTCCCTTTAGTTTTGTACTATTAATCTTAATTCATAAGAGTTTTGCAGATAAAGGTTACTTTAAAATAATGTCTGACATCTCCAGTAATCTTTGGTATTTGACCTTGTAAAGAAACTGCTGCTGATAGCAGGATTGTCCTCCTGGCCACAAGTAGAAGCTAGTTGTTTCAAAAAGTTTCAATAATTAACTAGTTTCACTGAGGAGCTATTATTCTTAGAAAAATGTAGATTTAAAACTGTCATGCCAATACTGGTATTTGTTTGACACTGTGTGGAGATTATAAAAAATACCCATACAGGGTTGTCTTCAACTTACAACCACAATTGGGACCAGAATTTCTGTTGTTAAGCAAGATGGTTGTTACATGATTTGCGCCCTATTTTATAACCTTTTGGCTATGGCTGTTAAGCGAATCCCTGCAATTGTTAAGTGAATCATGTGGTTGTTAAGCAAATGCAGCTTTCCTCATTGATTTTGCTTTTCAGAAGCTATCTGGGAAGGTTGCAAATGATGATCATATGACCCAGGTATGCTGCAGTTGTAAATGCATGCCAGTTGCCAAGTGCTCAAATTTTGATCATATCAGCATGGGGATGCTGTGACAGTTTTCACTTTTTTCAGTGCCATTGTAACTTTGAATAATCACTCAATGAATGGTTGTAAGTTGAGGACTACCTGAACAATATACATCCTAATATTAATTATTATTAACATTAAGGAAAACATTTTTCAAAGATTGGCTCAGTCTAAAGGGTCAAATCAAAAACTCCTAGTTTTTAAAGATTTAGAAGACTAGATTGAAAAATAGATTCAGAGGTCATCATGCTAAAGTGGCCAGGATCTATATTTTTGATACAAAAAATAAATTAATAAATAAATTGGGTCCCCACTTTCAGCAATAATTTTACAGGTACAGTGAGAGAAAACATTATTTGATCCCCTGCTGATTTTGTACGTTTGCCCACTGACAAAGAAATGATCAGTCTGTAAGTTTAATCGTAGGTTTATTTTAACAGTGAAAGACAGAATAATAACAACAAAAAATCCAGAAAAACGCATTTCAAAAAAGTTATAAATTGATTTGTATTTTAATGAGTGAAATAAGCATTTGATCCCCTATCAATGAGCAAGATTTTTGTCTCCCAGGTGTCTTTTATACAAATAACAAGCTGAGATTAGGAGCACTCTCTTAAAGGGAGTGCTCCTAATCTTAGTTTGTTATCTATATAAAAGACACCTGTCCACAGAAGCAATCATTCAATCAGATTCCAAACTCTCCACCATGGCCAAGACCAAAGAGCTATCCAAGGATGTCAGGGACAAGATTGTAGACATACACAAGGCTGGAATGGGCTACAAGACTATCACCAAGCAGCTTGGTGAGAAGGTGACAACAGTTGGTACGATTATTCGCAAATGGAAGAAACACAAAATAACCGTCAATCTTCCTTGGTCTGGGACTCCATGCAAGATCTCACTTCGTGGAGTTTCAATGATCATGAGAATGGTGAGGAATCAGCCCAGAACTACATGGGAGGATCTTGTCAATCATCTCAAGGCAGCTGGGACCATAATCACCAAGAAAACAACTGGTAACACACTACGCCTTGAAGGACTGAAATCCTGCAGCACCTGCAAGGTCCCCCTGCTCAAGAAAGCACATATTCAGGCTGTATGAAGATTGCCAAATGAACATCTGAATGATTTAGAGGAGAACTGGGTCAAAGTATTGTAGTCAGATGACACCAAAATCAAGCTCTTTGGCATGAACTCAACACGCTGTGTTTGGAGGAGAATGATTGCTGTCTATGACCCAAAGAACACCATCCCCACTGTCAAACGTGGAGGTGGAAACATTATGCTTTGGAGGCGTTTTTCTGCTAAGGGGACAGGACAACTTAATCGCATCAAAGGAACGATGGACAAGGCCATGTACTGTCAAATCTTGTGTGAGAACCTCCTTCCCTCAGCCAGGACATTGAACATGGGTCATGGATGGGTATTCCGGCATGGCACTGACCCAAAACAAGGCAACAAAGGAGTGGTTCAACAATAAAAGCACATTATGGCCCTGGAGTGGCCTACCCAGTCTCTAAACCTTAATCCCATAGAAAATCTGTGGAGGGAGCTGAAGGTTCGAGCTGCCAAAGATCAGCCTTGAAACCTGACTTGGAGGTTTCAAATGGAAAAATGACTTGGAGAGGATCTGCAAAGAGGAGTGGAACAAAATCCCTCCTGAGATGTGTGCAAACCTGGTGGCCAACTACAAAAAATGTCTGACCTCTGTGATTGCCAACAAGGGTTTTGCCACCAAGTACTAGGTCATGTTTTGCGAAGGGGTCAAATACTTATTCCACTCATTAAAATACAAATCAATTTATAACTTTTCTGAAATGTGTTTTTCTGGATTTTTTTTGTTATTCAGTCTCTCACTGTTAAACCTACCATTAAAATTATAGACTGATCATTTTTTTGTCAGTGGGCAATCATACAAAATCAGCAGGGGATCAAATAATTTTTCCCTCACTGTAACTGTAAAATTATTGCTGAAAGTAGGGACCCAATGTGAAAAAGCCATCTTAAACATGTAATTTGTCTTTATCTATGGATTAATTTATTTTTTGTACCAAAAATACAGATCTGGCTACTTTAGCATGATGACCTCTGAATTTATTTTTCAATCTAGTCTTCTAAATCCTTAAAAACCAGAAGTTTTTGTTTTGACCCTTTAGATTGAGCCAATCTTTGAAAAATGTTTTCCTTAATGTTAATAATAATTAATATTAGAACTTTGAGTGATTGTTCAAAGTTACAATGGCACCCAAAAAAGTAAAAACTGTCACAGCATCCCCATGCTGATGTGATCAAAATTTGAGTACTTGGCAACTGGCATGCATTTACAACTGCAGTATACCTGGGTTATGTGATCATCATTTGCAACCTTCCCAGCCAGCTTCTGACAAGCAAAATCAATGAGGAAAGCTGCATTTGCTTAACAACCACATGATTCACTTAACAATTGCAGGGATTCGCTTAACAGCCATAGCCAAAAGTTTATAAAATAGGGCGCGAATCATTGTAACAACCATCTTGCTTAACAACAGAAATTCTGGTCCCAATTGTGGTTGTAAGTTGAAGACAACCTGTATGGGTATTTTTTATAATCTCAACACAGTGTCAAACAAATACCAGTATTGGCATGAGAAAACTCTTTTATGCAATTGTCTACTGTTCTACAGAGTAATGAATATTTAAAATGGAATGTATTCTCACTGAATTGAGTGGGTATTTTTTAAAAATAATAAGAGCCGAGGTGGCGCAGCAGTTAGAGTGCAGTACTGCAGGCCACTTTAGCTGACTGTGTTCAGCAGGTCAGTGGTTCAAATCTCACCGGCTCAAGGTTGACTCAGCCTTCCATCCTTCCGAGGTAGGTAAAATGAGGACCCAGATTGTTGGGGGCAATGTAAATATATATATACATTGCTTACTGGTGTACACCGCTTAGAGAGTGCTTGCACTTAAAGCGGTATATAAGTCTCATAAATAAATAAATAAAAGTCATAAGTAATCCTATAAATTCACCCAATAGCTTAATAGATAGGATTTAGTTTATAGCATTTTCATTTAAATAATCAAATAATTTTTTCCCCTCACTGTACTCCTCCCACAAATGGGTGGGACAAAATGGTGGCCACATTTGGATTGCTGCCACATGGCCAAGACACACATAGCTTGCCCTCCTTTCACAACATGAGCTTCAAAAGTAAACGTGCGGTGTGATGGGTGGGTGTATGGGGAGGAGTTCCAAATGCAAGGTTTTGCTGCAAGATTTTGGCAGGATGGGATATGGCAGGGATAGGCAACCTTGGCTCTTTTATCTCGTGGACTTCAACTCCCAGAATTCCTGAGCCAGCATGACTCAGCTTGGAAACCTCCCTTTCCCCTCAGAGTGGCTGGCTCAGGAATTTTTAGAGTTGAAGTCCACGAGTCATAAAAGAGCCAAGGTTGCCTACCTCTGGGATAGGGAGAGTGACTGCAGTGACCCTGTGGTGGGTCATAAGGGCCAATGACTGCAGGCCCACTGCAGCTGTTGTAACTTTGAAATGGAATCATATGTAGCTTTTGGTGGGTCTGTCGTAATTTCGAATGTTAGTTAAATGGCCTGTCATACCTTGAGGATTATCTATATAAGTTAAACACTATAACTGTTTAGCACTTTTTTTTCAAAATATTTAAATAGTTAAGTGAATATTTGCCTGTCTCTCTGTGTTTGTAAACTATAAAAATAAAGCAAACTCCTAACAAAGCTAATCCAATCACCAGAGTCATTGGAAGACATGTTCAACTGAAGGAACAAAGAATGTTACATCTTTAAGTGTATTAAATGATATTATTTTTAAATGTCTATAATCCACTTTCTTAGTTGCATGTCTTTCTTAAATACCTAAAACATTTTTTCGTAGATTTGTTTTTATAACTGCTTCAACTGAAACAGTTGTATAACTTTTTAAACTCTGAAATTCATTCAGCCTTACACAATCTACAAGTAGGTATGCATTCCAGGCAAGAACTGGAAAATCAACTTCATGCAACCTCCATTTGTTTTTGCTCTCCTTTATAAGGAAGATAATTGCCACATTTTAAATAGTTCAGCAACTGTATATATCCTGTTTTCAAATAGAAAGAAATTATATTGAGCACTTGTACCTACCAACCATTTTTAATTTTTTGCACTGTCCGAGAATAATGTTAAAATAAAGACACTGTGGGAAATGGAAAATATTATTAAACTGAAGGTCAAGATACTACTAATATTTAAGGGAGCTCCAGGAAGAGGGGAGAACATAAGAGTGTGTTGCCAGAGCCCTGAGAATCTTATCAATTGCTCAAGTACTCCAGATGCTGATATTGGCCCTGAATATATGTATATATTAATTTCATGAAATCATTTACCCAATACGTATTACTTGCAGCTAGTAATGCCTATAAGTGAATTATATTGGGAATCTAGAACAAAGCTTTATTACCCACCTTTTATAAAACAATTGCCTCATTTTAGAAACTTGCTGGTTGTAAAAATACTCCTTAGCAATTTTAACACCCTTAAGGCAATAAAATAAAGATTCCTTGGAATCTGTACCATTATATTAATATATGTATGTTCATTTATTTCTATTGTAATAGAAATGCAGTGCTGATTACTGGAAACTCGTTATACAGTACTCTAGTCAGTGAAACAAAACAAGGTTTTTTGCCATGTAAAACAGCCATGCTGGTTGGGGAGTCCTGGGAATTGAAGTCCACCTATCTTATAGTTGCCAAGTTTGAGAAACAGTAATGTAAAGCATCATGTATGTATAACTACTTAGTGTAGCTTGCACAGTACTGTATTTTCATCAACCACGTTTCTTACATATGGCAAAATAAACTATTGAATATTCAATGCATCTTATTTCAAATTTAAAGAAATTGACCCTGAGCGATATATATGTATCCTAATTTGTATAATTTGTATATTATACATTTATAAAATAGACCATGATGAGGGTACAATGTAATTTCTCATTTAAGTGTAGGTCTCAAGCTAACTTTCTTCATTTCAGTGAGGGATCATTGCCTACCCCCAGTTCTATAAAACAGTTTTCTGCAGCATCAAAGAATTATGTCAAAATGATGATTTTGGATGATTGTGTATGCAACACTATAATGTACGTGGAAAGGTCAGATCATGTATGATGAAAACAGTTTTCATTTTCCTCTCAACTCTCCTGCTATAAAATACATTTTAATTTTTTGCATACTTACTTAGGAATACATTCCCAAATGAAACTTTCTATTTGATGTCTAAGATTCTAGACTGAAGTGTGACACATGATGGTAAACCACAAAACATGTCGGCTATATGGATCATTCAGCACATAGCAAGAATTAAAATTCCTAGTATGGCTCAGTGCTCCTGTCATTTCTGAGAGGAACTTAGGCTTGGAGTTTAAGACCAATGCATGGGCTTATTTTTAGGTGTAAGCCTATACATATGTTGTATATAGTACGTTTAAATGTGTGTTATGTATGTGTACAATTTGAGAGCAAGCAACTAAATTTCATTTTTAAAGTGTGCCATTGTGCCCACAGTAAAAAAATGACAATAAAGGTTATCTATTTTTAAACCATTATTCACAATTTTTACTTTTTATTATGAAGTCTTAAATACTAATATAATCATCAGTTTTATACTCATACTACTGTATTTACTGGCTCAGTCTTCAGAATGGAATATAAATATTAGTAAATGAATGTGATAAATTATATGACTTTATATATGCTGGGTTATCCCTTCACTTATGTAAAAACAGCAGCATTGCACAATCATAAAATGAATGCAAACCCTTTCCATATACAAAAATTCCCAAATGTGCAATCTGGATGCAGAAATGATTTTATTGAGATGAGTGCTACATTTTTCAGAGAGAATGCCTAATTATTTTTAGCAAGAGTGTTCAAAAAGAAAAGAGCCTCTACAAGCTAAGAAAAACAAAAATGTCGAACTGCTTTGAGGAAAACATGAAGCATGGCTGTCTGCAGGTCATGCACTGGAAGGGGAGAAATAGTTGTGGTAGCAACTCAACAATTGTGCCTTTGTTCTTAAGTTAGCTACTCCTCTCAGTTACAATAGAAATTCAGTGAAGGTTTATTAAATGTCTGGTTGGCTGGAAACAGGAAGTTTTTTTAAAAAAAATCTTGGGAAACAAAATGTCTTGGGCTGCACATCTTAAATATGCTTATCACACATCTGCAAGACCAGTTAAAAATACATTCCCTCCCAAAAAGCCAACATATAGTTATTGGAAAGAAAATCCCTTAAACTGCAAGAGAAAATAATTTAACATTTGTTGAACTTGTTAACTTAGTTGTAGCATTGCCTCATTTCGGGAAGATGTTTATCAGCTAGTTTGACTTTGGAAAGATGCAAATAGTTCGATTCTTCGCTCTTTCATTTGTATGCTTACAGTCTTCCAGTGTTATAATTGCAGTTTGTTTTTAAGCCACGACCAAGTTGTTAAAATATATTTAAAACAAAGATAATTCTTCACTAATTTTAATTATATGCAATATATCTCGTGGAAAGAAAGCTGAAAAATTGGCACCTGCTGCCAATTCCATGTAAATGAGAATTTAAGATAATTCATTAGAGACTTCAGGGCATCAAATAACACAGAAGAAATTCCATCTTGACAGATGTTGATTCACATTTTCTGTGCTGTGCCTTCAAGTAAACCGTTTCTTTCGTTCTCTGTATAAAACATACAAACTGCAGTCTCGCTCTTTGCAGCATTTTATATTATATGCCTAAAAGAACATTGTTCTTATATGCTGTTTCAGAATTTGTTCTGGAATGAAAAATAAAACTGCGATGTAGGATGACACTAGGCCTAGTCTGCGTTAATCCCAGCCTGTTTGGTGAAGCAGCTTTACCCATCATAGAATAAATGCGTAACGAGTTCAAGAAATCCAAAGAACCTGGAATAGGAACATTGAAGACATCACAAAATAATGTGTTGAAGCGCCTTTATTTTGCAGGAAGGCCTCGAAGCCAAAGTAGTAGCTACTGCCGGAGTAGTGAATTTGTCTCCGGTTACAAAAGCCATCAGCGCACCTCCTTACGCTCCCTAAAACAGCAAAGGGAGGGGGCGCCCGCCCCTCCCAAGAATCCCCACCGGAGCCGCTTTCAGCCCCCCCCCCACCTCGCCGTCTATTTCTCGCTCCGTCATTTGCCCCTCCCCTTCGGATTCTCCCCACACGGCGGCGGCAACCCCGGCCTCCACTTCGCGTGCTAATACACACGCGGCACGCTTACGCCTACCGCGCAGGCAGGCAGTGGCACTCGGAACGCAGCCACTGTCGTTCCACCAGGCATGGCACAGGGCTCTTCTACTTCATTATGGCAGCAGCGCGACACAGCACTCTCGACTTCATGCTCAGCGCCACAGGTGAGGCACCTCATTCCGGCGACTCGCCCTTTCTGGCCTACCCACCCACTCCCGGTTGCCCGACCGGCCCTCAATTGTTCTTCCTTCCCTTCCTCAGCAGCGGAACAGAGGAGAGGTCCGAACGGCTTGCTGGGTCGCTCTTGCCGCGAGAGTCACGGCCCCCCCGCAGGCCTCTGCAGCAAATGAGGCGAACGAGCGAGTTGTCTAGGTCGGCGTGGGAAGACTGGGGTAGCCTGCTGGCTTTGGCCCGGCGTGCTCCTTTCCTGCCTACTCTCGCCCTCCCGTTCCCAAATAAGCGGCATATCTTCTTCCCTCCCCGGGTCTCCTTTACCGCCAACTTTTGAACCTTCTGTTCTCCCGAATCTTCAATTCCCCGAAAAATTTGGATTTTTTTCCCCCTCTTCCCTCCCCACCTCCCTATTTGCAATTATTTTCTGATACTCAGTTATTTTCTAACATTCGTGCTTGCAGCTCCTCCCCTTCGTAAGTGCAGATTGCCTGAAGCTCGGCCCCCTCTCGCTGCGTTTCCAACCATGCGCGCTTCCGAGCCGCATGTGCTTTATGGCCTCCCCCCCTCGGCGAAAAATTGCCATCTGTCTGTCTCATTCTTTTCCCTGAACAGACCCCCCCTCACCCTAATATGATTTAATCTCGTCATCCGAAAATAGACCGGCAAAGATTTTTCCTCCCTTCCGGGCATATTTCCTTTATATACTTAAAAATGTGAGCTCGTGCCTTTTTTTGGGGGGGGGGGGTATCTGACATTGCGGCCTATTTCTATCCAGTAGAAATAGGCATCTGTTCATTTTGCACGTCTTGCCGCCAAAGGACGGGCCTTAATCTACCCCTCAGGTGGTTGGTCTTTTCTCCAGAGATGCTGATGGAGGAGATAATCCAGTTATCTCCCTCTACCCTTCCTGATTTCCAGGCTCTACTGGAAATTGGGTTAGAAAGAAAATGTTAGCTTATAGGAGAGGGGAAATGTGTAATAGTAGAAACATGATCTACAGAATGTATAGAAGAACAGGAAGCATTCTTACAATAAATAGGAATGAAATTGTGTCTAATTTCAAATAATTGTTAAAAATAAACAAATAGGAATATTTGATGTTTTATCTTTTTTCTTAGTCGGAGAAAGAAATATTTGGGACAATTCTAACTTCTTCATCTGACAGTTGGATTTGTTTGTTCATATACATTATTATTTTGCAAAACTTGAAATTGGGCTATTTCCCAATGTTTTCCAAAAGGCCTGAATCCAACCTTGTCTGATTAGAGCACTTCACCTTCAGTGGCATTTAAGAAATGTGTTCAAATATAGTACAATTTTTTTACAACCAATAGGATTGCAGTCATTCTGCATAAGAGGAATAGACCAATCTTTATGTAAATAAATCTCAAGTAAAAAGAAATGCAATATTAAAAACTAAGTGGGAGATGCATTTGGTGGTACTTCTTAAACAATGGAACTTAAAGACCACAAAATGCTGTCCTGTTTCAGGTTTCATGTATGTGTGTTTGTGTGCGTGCGCGCACACACACACACACACACACACACACACACACACGATTTTTAGGAGATTATCAGTTTCAGAGGACAATAGCAAGGAATGTCAAATAAGGCAAAGACTTGTCTGTGAATTTTGTTTTCAAAGGGGAATGTGCAGAAAAGTCATCCAAAATTGTTCTGTCAAGGTTATCAGCTAGTCCAAGGGTCTATAGTGCAAGAGAAGTCATGCACAAGCCAGATATTATTTCCAGCAAAGAGAACATAGGCAAAGAAATTATTTTTTAAACACTGCAGCCAGCTGTCACCAATCAGAATGTTTACTTCAGTGTTTCTCTACCTTAGCAGCTTGAAGATGTGTGGACTTCAGCTTTCAGAATTCAGCAGTCAACATGGTGTCTGGGGTATTCTGGGAGTTGAAGTCCATACATTTTCAAGCTACCAAGGCTGAAAAATACTACTTTATTCCATTGCTTGACAAGTAACCCAACAGGTTTCCTCTCTTCTGCTCTTTCTTTTACTTGTCTGGTATAAGAACTGGGAGGCCTTATGCCATCCTTACCTCACAGATCCTGCTGGTCAGGTACTGCTGGTGATTGATCAGCCTTATGTGATGTCCATCCTGAGTTGATTGTGCAGGCTCAACTGAAGCAGCTTTTTCAGCTTCGGACTCAGTTTGGGCTATAATTTATGCGTTGGTTTTATTATAGCATATAGCATGGTTTACATAGAGGTGATTTTTTTAAAATTGTTTTTCATTTAATTGATGTATTAACTTCCTTAACAGTATCTGAATGGTGCCAAACCTTTTGTGTGTGTTTGTGTATGGCGCTATTAATAACCTATTTATCAGATATATTCTATAGAGCTGGTAAGTAAATTGTTGTATTGCCATAAAACATATTGAAGCAACTAAAACATTTCCTATGATTTTTGCAAGAACGCACATACAACTATTACCATAAAAGAAAGCAATAACTCAAATTGCTGTAAACTATGAGTTCCTTTCCACTTCCACATTTGTATTTTGTTGTATACCTGTATTATGTGATAGCTGTATATATTGTGGTGCTTCATTTAGATACTGTATAAGGCACATAGACTATAGAAACCTGAAAAGTAGTTGTCTTTCTTACAGTGTTTTTTCTTAACAAAATTCAATAGGCTTGGCTGAATAGGGAGAGTAGATTTTACAAAAGTTGGCAGTTTCTGGTAGAAATCACCTACAAATGACAGGCAACAAAGAGCCCTTTATTCTTTTACATGTATATATGCTTTTGGAATGACTGCATTGGATTTTGATTCTTCCTGTTCTATAAACAAATATATTTTTGGTTCCTATGTATTATTAAGGTTTGCCAAGATCTTGCCCCCAGATTTTATTACATCAAGAGAATTTCTAGGTTATGCCAAATTTTGGAAGATTAGAGTGATCTGTAGATCCAGAGCTCATTTTACAAAGACAGTGCTCTGAGTTTCTGATTGCTTCCTTTGTTTTCACATCTTGGGGAACAAATCTATACACTAATCATTCCTGATCTGGTGCCCTTTAGATGCAGTCATAAACCATGATATCATATGATTGCATCACTTAGCAATGGCAGTCCCAGTTGATGCTGTAACCCTAGGACCACATGGGTTGTTAAGTGGGAAAAGGTGGCAATCTCAAATCAGAAGCACGGGCAGGTCATAGGTGCTGCGAGTGGGTGCTAGGGAGTGTGGACAGTGGGACCAGGAGAGGGTGGGGATGCTGCAAGACTTCATAAAGAGCCAGTGGCTGCCTCAGTTGGATGCCTCTTATTAGTTGCAGAAGAAAGGCGGTGAAGGTCTGGGGGTGGGGGTGACAAGGATAGGCAGTAGCAGAGTGTAGGGCAGCTGACCAAAAGGGGAAAGACGGGGGGGGGGGGAGATAGGCAAATGGGAGGTGTTGAAGCAGACGCAAATGCAACAGGGCAGAAGTGTGAGATCCTTGCCTAATGATGCTGCAGTTCTCACCTACTGACCGCAACTAGCACTACAGGAACTGGCATCACTAAGCATGGTCATGTCATATGGTGTTTTGCCAAACAACTGCTTCATTCTGTCCTGGCAGTTTTCATCCCAATGAGGGTCGTTAAGCAAGGACTATATTGATGAAGAAGACGGTGTTTCTCAGCCTTTTATATTTTTTGCATCTGCATTTTCTTCCAGTTCAATTTTATCAGTATGTTTTATCCAAGGAAAGAAAGAACACCAGCATATGACTTAATTTTAGGTTTAACTACAGCTATTTTTAATACATTTGTAAACATGATAGTTACATTAAGTATTTACAAATATGTGGTAAGAGGTGAAATAAACATCTGATTGCAAATTTAGCATACCGTTATTTAACTGCAGTTTAATTTTTAGTTCTATAAAAAAGACTAAATTTTATAAAGATAAATATGATAGTCATTGCTTGCAATATCAGCTGCCTTGTTTGGCAACTGTTATGATGCTGTAAAAAAACCTTACAACTGTAGCATGGCCATGTGATGATCATCATTTGGACACTTCACAACCAGCATACCCTTACAATCATTGCAGCATTCTGCAGCCACATGATCACTAGTTGTGTGTTGTGCAACTGGTTTGTGACAAATAGAGTTAATAGAGAAGGAAGAAATAAATTTAGTTACATGATGTTTTGCTTAAATACTCTGATACTTTACTTAATAATCAAAGGGGTAGTGAGATTGTAAGCCTGTTACAGTCATATGATATTTTACTTAATGATTGCAGTATTTAACAACAGAGTTACTAGTCCCAGTTGTCGTTAAGTGAGGACTACCTGTATCCTCTCAATTTTTTTTTAATTATAAATTTTTACAATTTTACAATAAAAATATATTGTATATTGAAATATATCTCTATATTGAAACATAAGAATCTCATCTTGTGAATTTTCCATCTTTTTTTCCATGCCTTCAAATTTTTCCTCCAACACCTCCACTTTATCTGCAACTTCTTCAACACGAAAATCCAACTTTTCAACAACAGAAGCAAGTCCTTTTAAAGCCAAAACTATATCTTGCCTCAAGATCCTGTTATTCTCCACTAAGATCTCTTTCACTTCTCCCCTAATTTGAGATATAACATTTCCCATTACATCTTGCAAATCTTTTACCGTTAATGACTGTGCAAGAGGAGAAGGTAATAATGTTGATTTAGGTTGTTGCGCTGGTAATATCGCCGAAGAAGAAGCCACCTTAGGAACTGTGGAAATTACTTGGCGCTTTGAAGCCATCTTAAAAGAAAAATTTTTATTTGATTTCTTCTTTCCTCCTTAAAAAATACAAAAAAAAGAAAAGAAAAAAAGAATTAAACAAAAGAGAGGGAGATTAACTCCAAAAACCTCCTTCAAAAAAATCATTGTAATAAGAAAAAAAAAAAGCATGGCTTTTTCTGTATCCTCTCAAATTTGACTGTTGCTGCCAATGGCTTTTTATTTTGTTTTAGTCTTGACCAGAGATCTCACTTTTGGGAAATAATTCTCTCGTAGCCCAGTCCGCCTCAGAGATTTGTTTTGAAGATAAAATGAAGAAAAGTATGTTACCTTGAATTCTCCGAGAAAAAAAAGATACAAATGGAAATTACACAATGAGATCATTATAGAAGTAGAAGCTATATGACTTTGCTACCAATAATGTGTTGATAGTAAGAATAAGAAACATTTACCTATAATCTTATCTTTTTTATTCATTAGCTCTTTAGATAACAGGCCTGTGATTTAAAATTATGGTTAAATACAAAGGAAAAATCTAAGTATTAAATGCAAAAAAGACCTTTAACTTTACATTACAAACGAACTTGAGAAATTGTTTATGTTTACTTTTTTTTAAAAAAATATGTTAACAATGAACAGATGTTCATTGCCATCTGTTAAAACAATTGGCCTTGGCATCAAGCTTTTTATGTAAACTGAGAAGTATTTTCTAAAAATGGAGGAGTAGGAAATGGTGGGCAATAGGAAATATTTTTTTTACTTCAGATGCTAGCTTTATATAGACTATGAGCATAAAGCTCATTTGACAATTTTTTCCACTTTGAGAAACATCTACACTGCTATGAGAAACATATACACTGCTAAAATCAGTTAATGAAATCATTTGATTTATTTTTCAGAATATATTTAAATTACCCAATATCTGCAGCTCCAGCATAGACACATTTTAATGAACTGTAAAAAGATAGGAAACATCGGCTGCCCATATCTCTTGCGAATAAAGGCAAATATACATGTCCCAGGATAATGTTGCAGGATCCAATCTGAGTTAGTAACCTGGACCAAAGGTTTATTCTTCCAAGCTTTCGGGTTTGTGCTGGAGCCCATCATCAGGGAACTTACCTCTCTTTCTAGAATATGTACACTACCTGTTTATTTATATGGTGCCTAGTTGTGTGTGTCTTTTAGTTGTTAGTTAGGGTGTTGGTAGTTGGATATTAAGTCATTGATTGTTGTTTTCCTTGTGCTGCTGAGTCCTTGGCTCCTAAGTACCTGATAGGAAACAGTATAAGGAAAAGTATCTGACAGGAAACAATATAAGCAAAAGTTGTATTGTAAGAAATCACAATAATAAAAATCACAATATGGACTGAACTGATTCCATCCCTCTGGGCCTCCTACCTCTGGTGATCACAGAAAAAGAAGGCTTTTGTTTATTTCACAGACAAGCCTGAAAAAGCACCAGGCCTAGACAAGGTAACTCCTTGCTTGAAAGCTTGTGATCCCATTTACACCCACATCTTTAATAAATCACTAGAGATGTGTTATGTTCTTTCTTGCTTTAAACACTCTAATATCATCCCATGTAGCTGAACAACTACAGACCGGTTGCTCTAACGTCCGTAGTTACGAAAACCTTTGAAAGGTTAGTGTTGGCCTACCTGAAAAACATGGATCTGCTGACGAATCTGCATATAGATGGGAAGTTGAACAACTGGCCCTGTGGTGCAGCTGAAACAATCTTGAGCTGGACACACTCAAAACTGTAGAGATGATTTTAGGAGAAGCTCTCCTATTTTACTACTTCTAACAATACTAAACAACACAGTATCAACAATAGAGACCTTCATGTTTCTAGGTTCTATAATATCTCAGGACTTAAAATGGACACCTAACATAAAAAATATCAAAAAAGCTCAGAAATGTTCTTCCTGTACCAACTCAGAAAGCTCAGACTACCCAAGGAGTTGCTGATACAGTTCTACAAAGGAATTTTTGAGCCTGTCATTTGCACCTCTATAACTGTCAGTTTGGAATAGCAAACAAGACAGACTTCAACGTTAAGACTGCAAAAAAAACAATTTCAACCAGCGTACCTTCCATTGAGAACCTATGTACTACACGAGCCAGAAAGAGGGCTGTGAAAGTATCTATAGATCCCTCACATCCTGGACATAAACTATTTCAACTTCTTCCCTCAAGATGACATTGCACGCCAAAACAACTAGACACAAGGACTCCCCCCCCCCATGCCATCACTTTGCTAAACAACATTCCCACTTATGCCCTGGGATGTCAAACCACCTAGTAGGGTTGTATTACTATTATCCTTCTCTTTCCTTTTACCTTTTTCCTTAGCTTCTTATGACTATAACTTTGTTGTTTGTATCTTATGATTTATGTTGATTGCTTTTATTTAGTATCCTTTTATGATTTATGTTGTTTGCTTATTTAGTCCATGACTATCGCTGAGAGTTGTATCTTATGATTTATGATGATTGTATTTTGTAATCATGATTTATCACTTGTTGCTTGTATGTACATTGAGAACTTATACACCGGAGACAAATTCCTTGTATGTCCAATCGCACTTAGCCAATAAAAAATTGTATTGTGTTGTATGTTCTATTCTATTCTATTCTATTCTATTCTATTCTATTCTATTCTATTCTATTCTATTCTATTCTATTCTATTCTATTCTATTCTATTCTTAAAACAATTGGGAAACATTAAAACTGCTGTTAATTGGTTAGGTATTCCACCTCCACAGAAAACAAAATTTGTTTATCAAGATTTGTTAGAAGAGGAGAGGATAAGGAATCTTAACAACTGGTTTTCCAATACTTGGAAAGGTTTAGAAATTACAGCAGTCGTCATTTTATGCTCATAAAATGCACTAAATATCCTTTCTACGTATAGAATGGAATGGAATGGAGTAGAATAGAATAGAACTGGACGGGACCTTGGAGGTCTTTTAGTCCAGCCCCCTGCTCAAGCAGGAGAACCTATACCATCTTAGACAGGTGATTGTCTAGTCTCCTTAAAAATCTCCAGTGATGGAGCACCCACGATTTCTGGAGGCAAGCTGTTCCACTGGTTGATTGTCCTCACTGTCAGGAAGTTTCTCCTTAATATCAAGTTGCTTCTCTCTTTGATCAATTTCCTACCATTGTTTTTTGTCCTTCCCTTTGATGAACAAAGTGACCCCCTCTTCTTGTGGCAGCCCCTCAGATACTGGAATACTGCTATCATGTCTCCCCTATTTCTTTTCTTTAGACTAGCCAAACCAAAGTACTGCAGCCATTCTTGTCTCCAGGCCTTTGATCATCTTAATTGCTCTTCTCTGAATTTTTTCCAAACTCTCGACATCTTTTTTGTGCTATGGTGACCAAAATTGGATGCAGTATTCTAGGTGTGGTCTTACTAGGGTTTTATAAAATGGTACTAATACTTCACATGATCTTGATTCTATGCTTCTATTTATACTATCCAGGATTATATTAGCTTTTTTGGTTACTGCTGCACACTGCTGGCTCATAGTCAAGTGATCGTCCACTAGGACTCCAAGGTCCTTCTCACAGTTATTGTTTTTAAGTCAGGTCTTGCCCAATCTGTACTTGTACCTTTGATTTTTCTTGCCTAAATGTAAAACTTTGCTTTTCTCCACATTGAAACTCATTTTGTTGGGTAGGGCCCATTGTTCAAGTTTGTCTAGATCTTTTTGGATCCTGAGCTTGTCTTCTGGGGTTTTGGCTACTCCTGTCAGTTTGGTGTCGTCTGCAAATTTGATGAGTTCCCCTTTAATTCCCTCATCTAAGTCAGTTATGAAGATATTGAAGAGTACTGGGCCTAAGTACTGGGCCTTATTAACCCATTGGTTCTTTTTCTTTTGTCTAGCTGATTGTAATGCCATTGTTAAAGGTCTACAGTCCATCTTCCAAAAGGAGGGAATGACAGAGACTATTCATAACTGGGAAAATCATGGTTACCTAGCAACATATGTCAATAAAAATGGCTGGTAAGCTGAATTTTAATATACATTGAGTTTTAAAGTATGTTATAATTATCAATTATTTAACAGATTGTCAAGGTAATCTTTAAGAAGCTAAGTGAAGAGTATACTTAATTTTTATATTTAAAAAATGTTATGAGTTAATTTCTAACTCTTATGAAAAATAAAGAAAATGCCATTTATATATCTAAAATTAACACATGCTGCTGAAGCTTATTGTTAGGCAAGTTGTAACTTCTTGATGTTCTAAGTGTTTTAATGAAACTAATGGATGAAAATAATTATTTTTTGGAGAAGGGTAGAATGTTACAGATATTACCAAACTGAGGAATGTCAGCCTAGAGACTATTTTGATAAGTAGGTAATTTAGTTGATAAGATTTTTTTTAAAAAATGATGGTTCCATCATATAACACTATGCCCTTTATTCATAACAACTGAGTCCCCTATTTTATCACAAATTACTGAACTTCTCACAGGTAACTAGCATATAATGGAGAATGTTAACAAATTAATTCAACAAAAGCAACAAGATTTGAAATTTGGGTAAACATTTTTTTATTTATGCTGAAATGGTAACACAAAGGTTGACAAAAGATCTTTTTAAATTATTTCTTGATATTGTAGAAGGAAATATTCTGTAAGGTCTTGCCTCAGCTAATACTCCCAAGAAAGCAGAAGTCTTGAAACTTGCATTGTTTCAAAAGGAACTTTTATTGAGAGATAGTGAAAAAAGAAAAGCTAGGCAACATCTGAATAATGTGAAAAGTTACATTAAACCTCTCTTCCAAACCCCTCCCAGGTGCCCAATTGCCCAGTCCAAATCCAGCCAATCCACAGGTGTGAAGTTGTTACAGGAACTGAAAGTTGAAGGAGCGATAAAACATCCTCTTCTCAGCAGAGTAGAGAAGGCAGATGGCCCCAGGCACATTTCTCCCCCCCTTTCACACCCAAAGAGATATATCAAAGATTGAAAGAACAAAGCAAAAGAAACAGATCCCAGAACCTCCCCCCTCCCAACAGAATGGCAGTGCCCCGAAATGATTTGAGGGTCCTGGCATGCCGCCCCCCCCCCCTTAAAGGAAGGAGAATTCCACCTGGAGAAATATAATAAAATGGGAGAGAAAGAGAATTCACAGATTAATCAGGTTTATCTAGTAATGTGCATTAAAATGTTTGAGTAACCTAGGGGCTCTAACATGTTTCTTATGCACCCATTCGTTCTGGCATGGTGAGACGTCTTTCCAGGCCACTAAATACTGGGTAGCTCCATGGTGTATGTGTGAGTTTAGGATTTCCTTAATTTCAAAGTGTTGTTCACTCTTTACCATGATGGATTGTGTTGCTGGGGAAGTTACTGGGCGTAAAGATGACGTTATTTGAGGCTTTAACAGACTGCAATGGAATACAGGGTGGATTTGCCTTAAGTCCTTGGTGAGGTCCAACTCCACTGTGACTGGGTTTATAATGTGTTTGATAGGGAAGGATCCCACAAATTTTGGTCCTAACTTTTTGGAGGGTTGAAGAGATTGCAGGAACCTAGTAGACAGATATACTCTGTCCCCAGTGTGGAATGGTTTAGGTTCCATTCTATTTTTATCTGCTTGGGCCTTATAGGCCAGTGATGGCGAACCTTTTAGAGACCGAGTGCCCAAAAACTGCCCCACCCCCACACCGCCCCCGCTCCCACCCACCTGCAGGGCCACCCACTACCTCCACGGCCCACCGCAGATCGCCTAGGCGGCCCAGCAGCAGCATAGCAGCCATGCCCTCCATCTGTGCCGCGCAGCATCATCTGTTTGTGATGAGGTGCAAGGGCGAAGTCTTGTCCCCACTGTCTGGCTGCCGTGTCCTTGGCTACACTGCTCCAGGCGGGCCGTGCCTGGGGACAACTCTCCTTGGGGGGGCTGCTGGTGTGGAAGGGGCTGCAGGGGGAGGTGGGGCTGGGGTGACGGCACATGTGCCCACAGAGAGGGCTCCGAGTGCTGTCTTTGGCACTTGTGCATAGGTTTGCCACCACTGTTATAGGCTGTTTTAGCCTCATCTAGAGCTTTTCTGATAACTGGCCAAGTATTTTGCAGTTGATTCATCCATTCCTTAAGGGAAAGGATGGTGGCTTCATTATTGGCAGTTCGGGCATTGGGTTGAATTCTTGTACTGTGGCCACTTGAAACGGGGTGAACACGGTGCTAGAGTGCAGAGCATTATTATAAGTTACTTCAGCGAATGGCAGGAGGTCAGTCCAGTTATCTTGCTGATAGTTGATAAAGCATCGCAGATACTGTTCATTCTGTCCCACCATTTGTTTGAGTATGGTAACTAGAACTCAGGGCCTGGTCTGTTCCCAGGAGGACCAAAAGTGCTCTCCAGAACCTAGAAGTAAATTGGACTCCTATGTCTGAAATTATGCAACGTGGGACCCCATGTAGACAGTAGACATGGTGGAGGAACAACTTTGCTACAGTCTTTGCTGTTGGGTTCTTTTGACAAGAAATGAAATGGACGGTTACCACCTAAATAATAGTGTTTCCCACGCTTTCTGGCAATTCTACAATAAAGTCCATAGAAATCTCTCTCCAGGGTGCTGAAAGGTTTGCAACTGGCTGCAGAAGGCCAGATGTTTTCCCCATCTTCATTTTGCTGCAGCACATGTAGGGCAGCTGGTCACATAACTCTTGATATCCTTTTTGATAGAAGGCCACAGAATTGTCTTTTTAAGAAGTGCAGGGTCTTTACAAACCCAAAGTATCCTGCCACCTTTGAGTCATGGCAGGTCTGAATAGTTTTTAGTCTCTGGCTGGCTGGGACATATAACTTCCCTCCTATCCCTGCCAGCTCCAACCTCATGGAGCAAAGGTTCTTGTAACTAATGAACCATTTGTCTTTTTCCAGGTCTTGCTTAAAGACCAGGATGATAGCGTTGTCTAATAGTGGGATGCTTTTGATTGTGCCCTTGTGGTTACTGGAGTTGCTAGTTGCTGCACTGGGAGTAGAGGCTTGACTATTTTGGCCTTGTGGCAGCCTGGATAGGGTGTCTGCCAATAAGTCCCCCCCCCATAAATAGCAGAGGGCAAAATTGAAGCGCTGGAAGTGTTGGGCCCACCGTGCCTGCTTGAGGGACAGTTTCCTCGGATTTTCAATGCTTCTAGGTTTTTGTGGTCAGTCCAAACCTGGAAAGAGATTTTGCTTCCTTCTAAAAAATGCCTCCAAGTGAGAAGGGCCCACCTCACTGCGTAGGTTTCCTTCTCCCACACTGCCCAGCGTTGTTCGGTCTCAGTAAATTTTTTTAAAGTGTATGCACAGGGCTGCAATTGGCCTTTTTTGTTTTCCTGGAGCAATACTGCACCTACAACCACGATGCTAGTGTCGGCCTGAATGACAAACGGTTTCTCTGGGTCTGGGTGCCTCAGCATTGGCTCCAGAGAAAAAAATCTTTTCAGTTTTTCGAATGCAGCTTGGCATTCCATAGTCCACTTTAGTGGCTGGCTAGGTTTTGGCTTATCTCCCCCCTTGAATTTTAATAAATTCATAATGGGGAATGCAATCTGCACAAAGGAGGGAATGAACTTCCTATAGAAATTGGCGAAACTCAAGAAGCTTTGCAGTTGCTTCCTGGTGCGTGGGGTTTTCCATTCTAAAACAGCATGCATTTTCTCTGGGTCCATCTCCACCCCCTCATATAAGATCTGGTAGCCTAGGTAGCCAATCTTCTCTTTGTGGAATTCACACCTTGAAAGCTTGGCGTATAGTTTGGCAGTGCGGAGTTTATTCAGGACCACTCTGACCAGTTTTATGTGCTCAGCTTTCGTCTCAGTGTATATTAATATATCATCCAGGTATACCAAAACTCACTTATATAGGGGTTCACGTAGCACTTCATTTATCAGTTGCATAAATATCGCAGGGGCTCCTTGTAATCCTAAAGGGAGCACTTTAAATTGAAAGCAGCCCAGGGGGCAGTTAAAAGCAGTTTTCCGTTTGTCTCCCTTTCTAATTCTGACTCTGTAATAAGCCTCCCATAAGTGCAGTTTAGAAACTACTGGGCCAGTATGTCCTTCATGAGGAGCAAGGGGTACACATTCTCCATGCACACCACATTCAGACCCTGTAATCCACACAGAGATGAAGAGACCCATCTTTCTTCTCCCGGAACAACACCAGGGCTGCTACCCGAGCTAAGTTTTTATCTATGAACTGGCGTAGTTTGTCTAACTCCCTGGGAGTCATGGAGTACAGTTTAGGCTTTGGAAGTTTAGCTGTGGGGACAATCTTGATGGGACAGTCTGGGCCAGCGAGGAGGGAGTTCGTCTGAACCCCTCTCGCTGAATACTTCAGCCAAATTGTGGTATTCCTTAGGTATGCCTCTCAGTGACTCGTTCTTTGTAGCTGCTGCCATTTCTTGTGGCTCTTTTTTCTGTTGCAATTGCTAGGTGGGGCTTTCTGTTCCCATGGGAACCTTAACCGCCTGTCCTGCCAGTTCATCCGCGGGTCCCATTTTTTCAGCCACGCCAGCCCTAGGAGGAGGGGTCATTCCATACCAGGTGCCACTATAAAGGTTAAAGTCTCAGAGTGGCTCCCCATAGTTAAATCCAGTGGTTTAGTGGCAAAGATCACTGGGACGTCTCCAGCGGAGGACCTGTCTATCTGGCAGAATAGGTTCTTTAATCTCCTTAGGCAAACCCCCAGTTTTCCCACTAGGATGGGGTTTATTAAGCATCTGGTGCACCCCGAGTCTAGTAGGGCCTTTAGGGCTACTATTGTCCCTATGCCTGAAATTACCAGGGGGTCATCATCGTAGTCGCTGTCAGATGTCTCTGACTCTTTCTCCGGTGGGGTCGGGGTTCCCCTTTCCGATTTTGGGGAGGGACGTAACTCTATGACCTTTGCACTCTTCAGGACTGTGTCCTTAGGGGGTTGGGAAGGCTTGGTCAGTTTTTCCCCTGAGGGTTGATATGCCTTCTTTGTGGGGGTCTTTGAACAGCATTCCACAGCCCTGTGGCTTTCCTTGCTACATTTGAAGCAGGCAGTTGAGTGTGATGGTGCTGTAGGGGTCTTGTTGCCTCCCTCTTTCCCTCTGGCAGGGATTGTGTCCACACTCTGCTTGAGCGGTGCTGGTTCTGGGCTTAGTCAATCTCTGCTTCTTCAGCTAAGATGCACCAGTGCAGGGGCTCTCGGCAATGCAGGCATAGTATAGGTTGTCGTTAAGCCCATCTTTTAAACAGCACACCAGGATGTCTTCCAGCCAGTTGAGGCGGCAGACTAAGTCCCAAAATTCTTTGGTGTATTCAGCTACCGGACAGCAGCCTTGTCTCACCGTCTTAATGCAGTCTCACATCTTTCAATCAGTCAGGAGGTCTTCGATATGCCATCTTAGCCCTGCCATGAAACCGTTGAAGTTCCGGAGCTCTGGAACATCAGCGTTGTGCAGGGTCACCATCCATCTGGCAACAGCACCTTCCAGGGCTAGAGTGACAATTCTGACCCTGGCTCCCTCACTGGGGAGTTCTCGCCCATATTCCTGTATGTACTTGAGGACATGAGCGAGGAAGAACCCCAACTGTTGAGGATCCCCATCGAACTTGACACCTAGGGAGGTGTCTTCTGCTCTGGCCACGGGGTTCCCCTTCTGCTGCTCCCCTGCGTATTTACCCCGATTGGGTAAACTACTGCTAGGGCAGTAGTTGCCCTTTCTATATAAGCTGTGGCATTGGCTGAGGTTCCTGGGATGGGTTCCTCCGCTGGTTCCTTGCTCTTTCTCCCCACAGCCACTGGCTTCTTGCACCTTCAGGTTCTGGAAGACTTCCACCATGAAGTGTATGGCGCATTTCAGGAGTTGGTTGACTGAGCTCGGCTCTTTGCCTGGTTTTTCATTGGTGTAGATCTCATACTTCCAGCCCGGCATCTGACTACCACAGGTGAGAGTGACCCGCTGGGTCCTCCCTTCCCAGTCCTCCCTTTTTCCCCACGCCCATGGACCATCTGGGCCTCTCGGGATCTTCCATGGCGGTAGCTTCCTCAATCCACTCGGAGGGGATATCCTCAGGGTGAGTCTTTGTGGAGATCTCTGCCCAGCACTCAGATTCCTCCTGCTTGTTGCCATGATGAGACATCATGTGCACCGGTTGACCACTTTGCAGATCTTGCCTAATGTAAGATCCTGCGTCAGCTTATACTCCTAAGAAAGCAGAACTCCTGAAACTGTTTCCCCAGGTGTTGCATCCTCTTCTCAGCGGAGCAGAGATAAGGCAGATGTCCCCAGGCACATTTGTCCCCTCTTTCACACCCAAAGAGATACATCAAAATTTGAGAGAACAAAGGAAAAGAAACACAGCCCATGCATCCCCCCTCCTAACAGAACGGAAGCGCCCCGAAAATGATTTGAGGGGACTGACATATTCTGATTCTTGGAGATCTGAATATTATTTTCTCCAAACGTAAGCAGATCTGTATCTAAAAGGAACTCTGGGAAAGTCTTCAAAAATGTCCTATATGAAATATTTTTGATTCATAACAATACAAATAACCTGGAAAAAAAACAAAAATCTGTACTTTCTTTTGAGTTCATGAAATTTGGAAACCATTTTTGGATTATAACAATGTACATTGGTTTGTATCACATCTGAAATTTATGTTACATTTAACATTAAGTTAAATATTTACGTTTTTATTTTTGGACAGTTTTTCTTTTTTATGATTGCAAGCTATCCAGAGTTACCTAAGGTAAGATGGGTGGCCAATAAGTTTTATTTATAGGTAGGTAGGTAAGTAGGTAGGTAGGTAGATAGGTAGATAGATAGATAGAGTCTGAAATTGCAATTCTTTTTTATGAATTATACTGCATTATTGTTGTTGATTTCTTATATTTAACAGTTTAAAACAATATAGGTAGTCCTCGACTTACAACAGTTCATTTAGTGACTGTTCAAAGTTACAACGGCATTGAAAAAAGTAACTTATGACCATGTTTCACACTTACAACCTTTGTAGTATCCCCATGATCACATGATCAAAATTTAGATGCTTGGCAACAGGTTCAGATTTATGACACTTGCTGTTTCTCCAAATCATGTGATCACCTTTTACGACCTTCTGATAAGCAAAATCAACGGGGAAGCCGAATTCCCTTAACAACTGGGTTACTAACTTATCAACTGCAGTGATTCACTTAACAATTATGCCAAGAAAACTCATAAAATGGGACAAAACTCACTTAACAAATATCTCATTGAACAACAGAAATGTTGTGCCCAGTTGTTATAAGTCAAAGACTACCTGTATTTGGATATTTAAAACTAAACAAAATATATTTTTTTTGACAAAATTCACAATGTTTTTAATATTTCTGTGGCATGGATATGTTGATATTCTTAAATTGATACAATACAACTTCTGTAGAAACCCTTGCATTTCTAATTTTGATAGATAAAGGCATGTATATTTGTATAATTAAAATGATTTTAATTAGCGTTATAAATAAATGAACTATAGAGAGTACAAAGAGGCTAACAACAGTAAGGTAAAATAAAACAAAGTGTAAAATACAAAAATAAGTTAGCAGTTAAATCAGTTACATCACCAATAATGAAATTAGCGCTGAGCATTTCAAATAAAACACCATTTTGTTTATATTCCCAGAGCCCTACTACACTGGTTTTAGCCATGTGACAGAAAAACACTTAATAACCCCCCGGAGAATTCCAGAACAATCTCTGTGTTCTATGTTAAGTATGTTTCTGGAGACACCGAATGCATGAGATCCTTTGTTCTTATCAGCAATGAAAAGTTGTGTAGGAGTGATCTAAAGCTGTGAATAATTTTAAGAACATCATGGGCCCAGAAAGAAATCATATTTCATTAAAGAAGTTGCATGTTTCTGGAACTATGGGTATTCTGGCCCAGATGTTTTCAAAGATCAATTTATATCCTGTTTTAGTTTGAAGGATTGATTGATTGATTGATTGACTGTTTGGATTTAAAAGGCCACTAAACAAAAACAATATGTTCCCACAGCGTACAACAAAAAGAATATTTAATGTGTTGTTAAATATTTGATTTAATCACCCACTATATAAAATGGTGATTGAACACAGTAATTAATCAAAACAATTGGTTGAAGTATAGTGAAACACTGGAGAAAAGTGACATTTTATTTTCAAAGATCCTATTGCGCCCTGCAGCTTAACATATAAAGCTAGCTCTTTTTGGAGCACTGATAACAATTTAATCCCGATATATGATATATAGATTCTTTAGATATTTATTACAACTATGTTTTGAAAGTTCAGAAATACTAAGATTAAGAGTCTAGCAAACAAAAAAAGGCAGTAAAATACCCAGATGGCCATCTTTGAGCAAAAACTCAAAGAATACTTGACCCAGAAGAACAAGTAACAGCTTTGATGTTTCTCAATTGTTGCAGAAGAAATAATTATTTAAAATAAAGAGGAACTTTTACCAATCTGATGTCCTCTAGGTGACATCTTTGGCCAAGTTGTTTGAGAACTTGAAGAGTTGGCTCTGTCTCTTAAAAAAAGAAGGGAATATATATTTTTAATTAGAACACTATCTTGCTGTGCAGATAAGGGATGTATTCTTTAGCATATATAAAGTCTTATTAGGATTTTATTTAGTAAAATTCTGGCTTTACTCTATACATTATTTCTTTTTATTGTCTAGCTTTGCGAATCTGAGAATTTATCCTCATGGTTTGGTTTTGGTTGATGTACAGAGTTGCAATGATTTGAATGAGAGAGAAGAAATAGAACAGGTGGGTAAGCTATTAATTTTTATTAATAAATATTTTTTATTAAAAGAGGACATAAAAATATTTTTATACAATTTTAGCTGAGCTTTTCCCTTCATTTGTCATACATGTATCATGTTTACAATGATAAATTGTAAATTAAAGCATGTGAAGTCTTTTAGGAGAGCCAGTTTGAAGTAGTGGTTAAACAGCAGGCTTGGCTAATGCATCAGACTGTGAGTTCTAGTTCCGCCTTAGCCATTTGGGTAGCCTTTCGCCAGTCACTGTTTCTCAGCCCTAGGAAGCAAGCAATGGCAAACCACTTCTGAAAAACCTTGCTAAGAACAGGAACTTTTCCAAGCAGTTGCTAGAAGTCAGTGCTGACTTAAAGTCACAAAAAAACCCCCTCCAAGAAACAAAAGTGAGAGTTTAGATGTTCATTATTAAACTCAAATCCTTCTAGCCATAAACCTTATCTGACTTGGTTTTCATGTAAAGGGTAATCATATAAACGTTTAAAAGTATCTATTTATAAGTTGTTGGTCAATTTAGTTTTGACAGCATTTCCTTCTTTCCTGCCTTTAATATTTTTGGCTTAATGTACATTCTTTTCTGTGTTCTTTATAACATTGTTTATACCCAAAGAGAGTAATGGAATGATGGGTGAGTAAGTAGGTAGGTACCTAGGAGGATTATAGGTATATAGCATATAACTGGTTATAGTTTTCTTTTAGTATCGGATGGTGCATATTTCTGAATTATCTGTTGCTAAAAGAGACAGCAACGAAGAGTTACTAAGCTTGAGTTTTCTTGGTCATTTGGGTGGCTACTGTGTGAAAAAAATGCTAAACAAAATAGTCTTTTACTATGATACATATATTTTTAACCTTTTATTTTAATTTAAAAAAATATTGAAAAATATTAAAGAACAATAAGGAAATCAAAAAGAAGAGAGATTAAAAACATACAAATGAATAAATGGAATTTACAGATACAGAAATTAAAGTTTTTCAAAAGTTCATTGATTAAGTATATTATATCATTTTAAAATACTAAAATCAGTATTGATCTCTAAACAATGTAATATCAGAAATGGTTATTAAAAATTTAAGTTATATGCAACTGAAATGTTAAGCCTTATGTAAAGAGAAATTCACACTGAACATAGTTCAGTTCTCATATAAAATTATAGTCTGGATATAGTCTCCAAATCAAGTTAAATTTGATTTGGTTAAATTTGATTTTTAAGCCTGTTTCATGGCCTTTTAAAAATGAAGTTGAAAATGGTATAAATAATGGAACCTAATTAGATGAGTTATAAAGAAAGATGAGTTTAGTCTTGCTATTACTCCAGCAGAAAAACCCAAGAGTTACTCAGATAATTTTATGGATTTGCTTAAACATTTAGTATCAGTTTAGTTCAATTTCAGTTCATTACAACCAATATCTAGCAAATATGTAAAAAGAAGACAAAAACAACGTAAACACAAGCAGGTGCAATAATCAGGCTTATTTCACGGAGTCTCCTTCCATAAATTGCAGTTAGATAACAAGCCTTTATAATATTACGTATTACATAAAAGACCTTGTCAATAGGAAGAAAATCAATATAAGTCATTTGAATGGCCAGAATAGTTGCTAAAAAGGGAAAATAAAATACTAGAGTGCTGATAGTAAAAGTACAAGACTAAGACAATGCATCATCATTTAATTAAGAAATTTATAAGATAACTGGCCAGTCACCTATCTCAAAAAATGATTGTGGGAAAAATTGGAATATAAATCAAATAAATAATGCAAACTATTACTAACATGTTTTTATTTGTTTACTGAAAACTTAGTTTCATTGAACCACAGTGGACAAAATTTCAGGTTTGCTTCAGGATGCATATAAAAATCGGTATTTTAAGTAATGTTCAAGAAGATGTTTATGTTAATTGTTTTGGAACTTGAACATAAGCTATACAGAATCGATTGAATAATAAAAATGATGCATATATTTATAATAAGAGTGGTATCAGATTCTTAAGTTTAATATGTTTTTACTGTTGTTTATACACATATATGTTTTCCTGCAGCTTCTAAATAAAGTAGAAGAAAAAATGAAAGAACTCTTTCATAAAAGTATCAAAAGGATAAAACGGTAAGGAAATTTGAGCTTTCATTCATCTCTTAAATATGAGTAACAATGAAGGACATGACTGAATAAATTAGAAATCAAAGCAATAGTTAAACTATTTCCTATATTAAATACAGTATAGAGCTTTTATGTAGTGCTAACATTATTTTGTTAGCTAATATTGGAGGGCAGACTTCTAAGATGATAGTTATTTTCATGTATTTAAATTAAGGGAAAGCAACCAAAACTTTTTTATGCTAATTGTTAATAAAGTTTACAAATAAAAAACTAATACAAACTAAGAAAATGTTAAAGGCAAAACTTAAAAAAATTAAAAGTGCAAAGAAAAAGAAAATAAGACAATATGTATATAAAGAAATAACTCGCCCCTCTCTCATAACAAATACAACTTAATTTAACTTATCACCTTCTCTGGTATTTTCAATAAAACATCTATTATGTATGTATACTGTATATACTATATATTAACCTAGATCGAATAACTCCACTTTATATTTTTATACTTAGTTTTAATCTTTAATTGATCTTTAATCCCTTCAAATAATGTCCCACAAGATAATTGCTTATAATTTTTTCTTTGTGTCCTCTCAGAAACTCCTTCACTAAGCTTTTATTTGTATGCACCCTCTTAATTTTTAAGACAGCAGTCAGTTTCATTTGTAAATGCAGTATGGCATCATTTCCCATATCATTTTTGTGATCTGGCATTTTTAAATCCACTTTTCAGATCCATATTCAAATAAGCCTCAGACGCTAGTAAAATTTGTTCCTCTTCTGTAGCCTCTTTTAAATCCAATTTTATAGTACTGTGTTTCCTGAAAGTAAGACCCGTTCTTATATTATTTTGGCCTCCAAAAGAGGCATTAGGTCTTATTTTTGGGGGATGTCTTATATTTTTCGTGACATCTGCCTCACTTTGTGGCGGCGGCACCAACAGCCCCATCCAGCAGGAGCCCGCATGGCTGCCGGCCTACTTCTGCAGCCACTTGCAGCAGGAGGCCACATGGTGCATCGTGTCACTGCTGCCACAACAAGATGACGCAGGTGGGATAGGGAGTGGAGCTGCCCCACATACCCCGCACCCGCTTACTTCAGGATCCCCCCAACCAGGCCATTCCTTGCTCGGAGACCTTCCCTTTCTCTCCCCTCCTGAATCCGACTGCCATGCTACAGAGTATGGGCTGGGTAAGCCCAGTCCCCCTCTGCCGTATTGGAGCCAAGGGGGAGTGACAGCGAAAGGCTCTGCTGCTGCTGTGCACCACTGGAGGGCTTTCTTTGCACTTCGCCCCACAGATTACCTGCCTGGTGGCAGCCGCCTCCTACAACAATTCTCCTGTGGCTTGCGCCGTGACCGGGCAGCGCAAGCCTTCCCTGCTGCTTCCTTCTGCCAGCCCTCTGTTGCCGCCACTGGAGAGAACAGGGAGGGGAGCGGCTCTACGCAGCCATGCAGAGCAGAGAAGAGCACTTGCTTGCCAACCAGCCGAGGTACTGCAGTACTGCAGGGCACTTTAGCTGACTGTGTTCAGCAGGTTAGCGGTTCAAATCTCACCGGCTCAAGGTTGACTCAGCCTTCCATCCTTCCGGGGTAGGTAAAATGAGGACCCAGATTGTTGGGAGCAATGTAAATATATATATATACATTGCTTACTGGTGTACATCGCTTAGAGAGTGCTTGCACTTAAGGCGGTATATAAGTCTCATAAATAAGTAAACCTGCATTGCCCCGCATCTCCCTTCTCCATTCTGGAAATGGCAGTCCCACTTCCTGCCAGTTCTCCCGGCGGTGCTGTAGAGTTGGCACATCACAGCCCAGCTCTTCTCTCTCTCCCCAAAAGCATTTCTTCACTAACCTAATTTCCAGCTCTGGTGCGTTTCTCTCCTGCTGCAGGGAAACAAAGTTTGTGGGACTAAAAAATGTTCAGTCAGACCTTCCAACTTCTCATGAGATCCTTATTTCTCCCCCTCAGCATGGCAGTCTGGCTCGGGAGGGGAGTGAAAAGGAAGGTCGCCGAGCAAGGAATGGCCTGGCTGGGGGGGCCCTGAAGTAAGCGGGTGTGGGGTGCATGGGACACCTCCACCCCTCTCCCACCTGCCTTTTCTTGTGGCGGCAGCGGCACAACACATGCTCCTGCCCCATTGCGGCAGCAAGGTGGGATGGAGTGGGCAAGGTCCTAACTACGCTTATTTTTGGAGTAGGGCTTATAAAATCAGGATAGATCTTATTTTCGGGGTAGGTCTACTTTTCGAGGAAACATGGTAACAGACAATGAATATATCATTCCCAAGTATCCTTGAATTCTTCCATAATACTGCTTCATTGAACTAATGAGCCTCTACTGCTTTTAATTATAAACCTTAGTACTCTCTAGTTCCCTCTAGTCAACCTTCAGAGTCCCCTCTTATCATATTTTTTTTTTCTAATCAACGACACTTTCCTGAAGGAGAATTTCTTGCAGTCCATTTCAAAATCTTCATATATATTTCTGAAAATTTTTTAAACAACCCGCAGAAAATATTCTTTCAAGTCCATATTAATTTGTTTATAAATTTCCAAAATAAATATGTTGTCACCCTTTTTGCTGCTTATTCAAAAATGAACAATTTTCTTTTAAAAGTCCTTAAGTTTGCATGAAACTTCTTTAATCAAGGATATAAAGAAATTCTGCCAGAGGCTTCTTTTCAGTGCCTTAATTTTTTATCAAATATATTATTATGAATGTGTATGATAATTTTAATTAGAATTAAGTAAAAATAAGATTTTTGTTCTTTACCATTATCCTTGATCAAGAAAATATGATCCATTTAATTTTTAATTTCCTATCTTTTTTACACTGTAATATTAATAGCACTCAGAACAAACATAGATAGAATTCACTGGCAATCTAATCCCGGCTTAAGAAATATTAGTTTATATGTACACATATAGTCTTGCGAAGTCATATTATGCACAAATGTCTCATTATTAGTTAATATATGTTTACATAAATGCAAAAAACTAGAAATATGCTGGAAATTAGAAAATAGATTTCTGAAGAGAATTTAATATACGTTTATATTTTAGAATTAAATGTAAATTTAGAATGTAAAAGGTTTTAGTAGTACATTTTCTTTACTATTTCCTAATTTCCAGCACTAATGTACTAAATTTATTAATTTACTTAATTTATTAGTTTAAAAACAGGTATTCTGCTTGTCTATTCATACATAATAGTCCCTTTAGGAAGCTGCTATTTAAGGTTGTCTGACTATGAAATATTCTTTCTCTCTCTCTCTCTCTCTGTCTTACCTCTCTCTCCCCCCCCCCTTTCAGCTTGCCAGTCATTATGAGAGGGGATGCCATTGATAGATACTGGCCTACAGCAGATGGGCGATTGGTGGAATATGACATAGATGAAGTTATATATGATGAAGAATCAGCTTATCAGAATATTAAAATTTTACACTCAAAACAATTTGGAAATATTCTTATCCTCAGTGGGGATGTTAGTGAGTATTATCAGTTGAAAATAAACTACATTCATTTGCTATTGAATCAGGCTGGACAAAGTTTCTAATTGCGAGACTAAATATAAGCCATAACCCATGGCTTATTAAGGGCTTGGGATTGTTTATTTCTAGGATTATTTTTCTTAAATTGCTAAATATTTATTCTATGTAAGAATTAATTGATATTTTAAGTCATGAAGGAAAGGATTATTAGATGCTTGTCATCTTTTTTCTTGTATGATATGAAATAAAATATAAATATAATTGCAGTGATATACAATTACTCTTTATTGATCTTACTGTATTATGACTAATTATAAAATAATGTAACATTCTTATCTGAGATATGATGGCTGACTGAATTGTGTGAACAAATTTCTCTTGGGTGACAGAAAAGGGTTTCAGCCGGTATAGTATGAGGTTGCAGGAAACAAATAGCTTTGAATTCATGTGGTTTAGCTGACATAAATCAATACCTTTCTGCCTACTAGGCAACATTCTGCCCAGTAGGCAAAACATCATATCTTGAGAGTTGCACAAGATCTACCCCCTCTTTCAAATTTCTATTGATTACAGGTAGTCCTTGACTTAAAACAGTTCGTTTAGTGACTGTTTGAACTTAACGACACTGAAAAAAATGACTTATGATTGTTTTTCACACTTATGGCCATTGCAGCATCCCCATGGTAATGTGATCAAAATTCAGATGCTTGACACCTGCTTCATATTTATGATAGTTGTAGTGGCCCAGGGTCATGTGATCATCTTTTGTGAACTTTTGACAAGCAAACTTAATGGGGAAGCCAGATACATTTAACAACTGTGTTACTAACTTAACAACTACAGTGATTCACATAACAACTGTGGCAAGAAAGATCATAAAATGGGGCAAAATTCACTTAACAAATGTTTCACTTAGCAACAGAAATTAATTGAGGTCGTAACTCGAGGACTACCTGTAGCTATAAAGTTATCTTTAGAAGTTTGCTAATTTCTAAAGGATGAATGTAACACTATATATATAATATCCATTATATAGTATCATTTGTCAGCTAACTAATTAGATATAAGTATCAACATAGTTATTGTTATGAAAAGGTTGTATTTTTATGTTTGTTTATATTCATACATTTGTTTTTCTGTCTTTTAAGATCTGGCAGAAAGTGACTTAGCATATACAAAAGCTATAATGGGGAGTGGAAAGGAAGATTACACCAACAAAGAAGTGCTCATTCTTGGAGGTGGTGATGGAGGAATATTGTATGAAATTGTTAAAATGAAACCAAAGATGGTCACCATGGTAGAGATATCCTTTTGATATGAGCCAGTGGTCAATAATACAGAAACAAAAGTCTTCATCTCATTCTATTTGGAACATAGATTATTGGTTTATTATTTATCTTGATTCCTTAGAGCATTATTTAAAACTTTGGCTATTACCTATCTTAAATCTGGTCCAAATTCTATAGCATTTTATAATTCAATTGAAGATTTCTTGCTACTTTTAAAATTGTTGTACTTAAGAATTTTTGATGATCTTACAAAAAAATTGTGTAAGATGCATCTTTAATCTGGTCTAAATATTATGTAACAGATCCATTATAATAGAGTTTGTTCATTTGTTCAGATACATTTGTTCAGCAGCTAAGGGCTGTTTCACTCCAGTGGTCCCCAAACTTTCCGGCTTTGCGGACTAGCAGCAGAGGGGAGAGGGGATGGTTCCATGCAAGCAGCTGGTGAGCTCGTGCTCACCTGCTGCTTCTGCAGACTGGTCCCAGGTCATGGCCCGGGGGTTGGGGACCCCTGCTTTACTCTAGCTGGCAAGGAGAGGGAATCTACGTGGGTGGATGTTGTATCTGTCAGTGGCTCAGTTCTAAGGATAGATGATATAATTGGATAAAATATGCTGATTAATATCAGGTCATATGTCAAAAATTATAAATAAATGTGCGTTTCTAGGAATGTTTTCAATTAATCTATTTGGCTCCAGAAAAACTGTCAACTTATTAATGTTTTAGTAGTCTGTTCATAATACAATTTAGGCTTTTCAAGGCAGAAACAAAGACCATTATGAAGAATGTTAATAACAACAAAATGAGTTATTTCATTCTTATTAGTATCAAAAACATTGACCAAATGGTGATTGACGGGTGTCGAAAATACATGCGTAAAACATGTGGAGATGTCTTGGACAATCTAAAAGGAGAATGCTATCAGGTACATATTATTTCTGTTATACTCTCTTCACTTTTAATATTTAAAGCCAATTTTGTCAGTGTATATATTCTATTATCAATACTATTGATGTGAGGTAATGGTATTGTATATAATTGCAGGATGTCCTTAATATAGAGCTAACTCTATTTTAATACAGCTAATGCTATTTTAAATATGCAGGAGATTTAACATTTTGAAACCACTGGGTTTTTTGGTTTGGTTTCTATTGCCCTTTTGTTGTGGGGGAGCAAAGGGAATTGTATGCTGTTCAACATGAGTGAATAATAAATGTGAAATATTTTTGGAATAATTGATTGAAACATAGATGATGTCTTACCGTACTACTAATAATAGAGTATATTCTTATCTATCATTATTTATGGCTCTCAACACAAATAGGTTCTATAATTTTATTTAGCATAACAAATAAAATTGGAGCTGAAATTTATTAGATATGTGCATGAACAAAAATATATTTTACTGTGGGCAAAGTTCTGGACTGGCATGGTATAGACCAGAGGTAGGCAACCTTGGCTCTTTTATGACTCGTGGCTTCAATTCCCAGAATTCCTGAGCCCGCCACGCTGAGGGAAAAGGGAGAGTTTCCAAGCTGAGCCATGCTGGCTCAGGAATTCTGGGAGTTGAAGTCCACAAGTCCTAAAAGAGCCAAGGTTGCCTACCCCTGGTATAGACAGAAGGGATCTGTTACCTTTGCATGCTTTGTATTCCATCAGTGTGAAATCTGAAGCAGATCCAGGAATTCCTTATAGAGCAAACGGATTTTGAATAGGAAGTTTTTTTATAGGACCATTAGAAAGCAGCAAAGAGAAGATGAAAATCTTTGCTCTTGTCTACTTATTGTTGGTTTCAGGGATCATTACTATATCAGTAATGGTAAAGGGGCTTGTGATCCCAATGATAACTATTGAGACTATATAAATTCTTACAATGTGCAGAGCAGAGACTTACCAGATTAAATACAATCCATGGAAGAAAGACATGGCAAACCAATCAGTATTACAGTGATCCAAGATTGTTCAGATGCAAAAAAAGCAGATGTTGAACAGTTGACACAACAAAGAAGACAAGTCATGCTAATAATAGAAGAGTAGAATGCTGTTTAAAGAAATGATTGTGCTCATGCCCCTTTTGAGTAGCCGAGCAGAGTGTAGCTGCCCCTCTGTTCCAAAGTCCTATATTTTGTCTCACTCTTTCTGTGAGTTATGGAAGTAGAAAAAAATGGTGTTGACATCATGATTTCTCAGTTCAAACTCCAGCAAAAGATCCCTAGATCAATATTAGCGCACATGTTTTGCATGCAAAAAATACCACGTTCAATTTCTAACTTGAGCTGTCTTGGTTATAGAGGACAAATGGCAGTCTCTGAACAATGTAGATCTATAAGAGCCTTATATAAATACTAGTTCATTATTTCTTGGGTGACAGTACAGTTGAATTGATTTGGGCTACTTCGTTCATCATGACTACTACAGAAAGTGCTAATTAGTCAGCTTATGGACATTATGTTAAGTAGATAAAATGTTACTATTTTTTTAGGTATTAATAGAAGATTGTATCCCAGTCCTGAAGAGATATGCCAAAGAAGAAAGAATGTTTGATTATGTAATTAATGACTTGACAGCTGTTCCAATCTCTACATCTCCAGAAGAAGGTTATTTTTTAAAACTTTCATTATATTTCTGCTTTATTTTCCTATAGAACATAATACCTTTGGGCATCTGTCTGAATAGGTGGGGAGCTCAAAGTAGGGAATAGAATTGTCTATTCATGCAGATCTACTTTCTATAGACTTACTTCAGCCTCCATAGGTTCTAATGGAAAATCTGAAGGATCAGACATCTCACAACAGTGGGCGTGTGCAAGGATTAAATCAACAAACCAAGTACAGTGCCCAAAATTAAAAAAATAAAGGCCAATTCAAAACAGGCAGCATTAACCAGCAGAACGTGACTAACCGTCTGGTCCAAACATCTGGGGAACAGCCAGATCCTTAATGTCTTACAAAAGGCTAGCAGGATTAGCGCCATCCAAATTTTGGGTGGGATGATACTGCATTCCTTTGCAGGATGCTGTTATGGATTCCCTTACAGGTTTTACTGTCAATCATTTCTTCTGAAAATCTCTTTTGTAGTTGAGTAACTTCCTATATATCTGAAGAATAGAGAGAGATAGAACAGGTAAATGTGTACGTGAAGTATAGTTTTATAGGGTGTGCATATTAGGGGTGTGGAGGAAAATGGAGAAAAAATAATTGGCCCTCACTACTACAGATCATTGATAGATTGTTCTGTAGTGCTAGAAACGGTTTTCTAAATAATTGTCCTGTATTTATAAAAAATGTTTAAAGGAAGTTCCATGCTTTGCCTTTTTATTTACAGAGCATCCTAGAAATCAAACATGAATCCACTGATGTTGCAAATTGTAGTTCTCATCACTTAACATTTATGAATTATTTAATTTCTAATTAAACAATTAGTACGTTTAAATTTAGATTCCACATGGGAGTTTCTACGAATGATTCTGGACCTTTCAATGAGAGTCTTGAAACCTGATGGAAAATATTTCACCCAGGTATGACAGGTGGAATTGTTGTAGATAATGTAACTATAGGGAATTTTAAAAGCAACCTTGTTTAGATGACTTTGTAGATAGGTATGTTAGGGAATGTTTGGAGCAAAGGATAATAGCAAAGCCTAGTATTAAGTTTGCATGTTCTCCTTCAGAAATGAGTGAATCAGGAATAGGTGGGGTTTTTTTTTAAGGTGAGTTCCATCAGAAGCTAAGATTCTCTTGTAATGGAAAAATCCTGAGAACCACACTTTTAATAGAACATTTGCCAGTCTTTCTTAATTGCATTTCTTCAAAAGTTTTCTCTTTGGTTAAAGTAAAGTTAGACAGAGGTATCCTACTTTGAATGTTGGAATATGTATGAGACAAATGTTCTGCCATGATTTATTTGTTTGTTTGTGCCAGTGTTGACTCCTGGTGATTGCCTAGAGAGGTCCCTACAGTTTTCTTGGCAAGATTTCAGAATGGCTTTCTGTTACTTTCTTCCCAGGGGCTAAGACAGAATGACTGGTCCAATGTCACCCAGTTGGCTTCATGCCTAAGACAGAACTAGAACTCAGATCTTCCAATTTCTAGTCTTATGCCTTAACCACTACACCAAACTGCCTTGAACCTAGAAGAAAATCATTGCATTCTGGAAATTTTGCTAAACTGAGCCAGTTACATTTTGGCAGAACCAAATTCCAAAATCATTGATTTTTCCATGTCTTTGTGTCATCTACCCTCTTTCTCTCATTGCTGCCATCCAAGTCCCAGCTTGACATACCCATTAGCCAAATCAATCTTCACCCAGTCTTTCCAGAGCTTTTGATTAATTATGTTTCAGGTTACACTCTTTTATGCCTCTGAAATGTGGAGACAAATTTATTATAATTACTTCTACTGTAATTTTAAGTTACTCATAAGTGTCAAGAACCCCAATTTAGAAGAAAAGTTTTATTATATATGTAATCTATTTGATTTATATTCTGCTTTTATTTCAGCAGCTTAAGATTTCCTCCTCCCCCCCCCCAAAAGAAACAACCCACTGTGGTGGGTTGGGCTAAGCGAGTAACTGACCTAATGTCACTTATTGAGAATCTGGTCTTCCATTGCCTAGTCCACTGCCTTAACTATGCATCACACTGATGGCATTTATTAGATTTTTTAAAACTATGGTGTGCAAAACTACTATTTCCATTAGTCTCCAATAATACAAAAATTTATCCATTTTTATTAATCATTGAAAACAAAGTCTTTTAGTTTAAAAAGCACCAGGATAAGTAACATAGCACTAGGAAACATAAAAATTCATAGTTTTTGCTAAAAATGTAATTGACTAATTTTTTAAATTAATTATATACCAATTAAATTGTGGTTGTTCTGAGATTAATTAAAATTTTAAAATTAAGCATTGATGTCCTCTGGCTTATACTTTGATGTGATTTTATTGTTTTTATTGTGCTTAACTATAACTACATACTACAACTCTGGCTTAGTGTATAAAATTGGGTAGCTATTTACTGGTGCCTGAATACTATCTTACGCCATTATTGAATATGACCACTAGATGGAGTTTTATTATTCCATTTTATTATAAAAATGTCAGCTAACAAATTTAGAGATAACTTAAGTTGTGAGTGATGTAATCTGATAAGACTCTGTAGCAGTATTAGCTTTTTTCACAGAATGATAGTCTTTAAAATCTTGAATATTTATTAGATCACAAATATGCTTGATGTAATAAAAATACACAATTTTGTCAAGCTGTTATTTATATCACTTTTATTAAGGTTTAAATATGCTCTATGATTCTCAAAGTTTTTAATTTTCAGTGTTGTGAAAATGTCTAAATTAAAAAAAATTCTGAAAATGCATAGGACTACAATTATAAAAGTATAGTTTAATGTTTTATACCACATAGTTATATTATTATCCCATCTTGTTACATTTGGTAAAATCAAGGGGATGAACACACTTAGAACTCCTGCTTCCTATTTTCCCACAACAGTACCCCCATGAGGTGGGTTGGCCTGAGAGGAAGGGTCTGTCCCAAAGTTACTCAGCTGGTTTTTGTACCTGAAGGAGGCCTAGAACTCAGTCCCCTGATTTCTGGTGCCAGAACTTAAACTAAACTGGCTTACTTGAATTTTATAACTTTTTATAAGTTGTTTTTATTTTATTTTATACATTAAAGCAGGGTAAATAAATAAATAAATAAAACAGGCCTGCTTTCAGAACAATTGCTAGTAAAGATTATATTTTTGGACATTTTTTTTCCTAGAAAAAAATCATTGAAGAGAACGTGGCTTTGTGATGAGATAACTTCACTGTTTTGCTCATCGAGTTCTATAGTTCCATAATGGCTGCTGAGATTCACATTCCAATGTATGAGATGAGAATCTATTCCTTTGTATGTGTAGGAATTCAAGTAGAAAATTAAATATTCTGGAAGTTACTATTCAACATCTATCTAACTATTTAACAAAATGAAATTCAATGGTGAAAAAAGTAAGGTTCTACATTTAGGCAAGAAAAACCAAATGTACAGGTATAGTATAGGGGATACCTTGCTCAATAGTAGTAACTGTGAGAGGGATCTTGGAGTCCTAGTGGACAATCACTTAAATATGAGCCAGCAGTGTGCTGCAGCTGCCAAAAAGTCCAAAACAGTGCTAGGCTGCATTAACAGAGGGATGGAATCAATATCATGTGAAGTATTAATACCACTTTACAATGTCTTGGTAAAGCCATACTTGGAATACTGTATCCAGTTTTGGTCACCACGATGTAAAAAAGATGTTGAAATTCTAGAAAAAGTACAGAGAAGAGCAACAAAGATGATTAGGGGACTGGAGGCTAAAGCATATAAGGAACGGCTGCTGGAATTGGGTATGTCTAGTTTAATGAAGAGAAGGACGAGGGGGGACATGATAGTAGTGTTCCAATATCTCAGGGGCTGCCACAAAGAAGAGGGAGTCAAGCTATTCTCCAAAGCGCCTGAAGGCAGGACAAGAAGCAAGGGATGGAAACTAATCAAAGAGAGAAACAACCTAGAACTAAGGAGAAACTTCTTGACAGTTAGAACAATTAACCAGTGGAACAACCTGCCTCTAGAAGTGGTGAATGCTCCAACACTGGAAGTTTTAAAGAAGAGATTGGGCAGCCATTTGTCTGAAATGGTATAGAATTTCCTGCCTGAGCAGGGGATTGGACTAGATGGCCTCCAAGGTCCCTTCCAACTATTATTATTATTATCATTATTATTACTATATGCCTCATGAGATGTACTCAAGATCTTAATGTCATTCCAATTAGATAGTTGAAATTCAGACTTCCTAACTTGGCATTTTCTGGGGTTATTAAGAATAAAAGCTTCATCATCTCTATCTAGCATGGTAAGATAAAGAATGGAGCCAGGGTACATGACTCTTACAGAGGTATTTTCCATCCTAGTACCTTTGTGCATTAAATTCTAAAGCAAGGGTGTCAATGTTTAAAGAGTTGTGGGCTGCAATTCAACCTCCTTATCTACATTTCCACCAGCTGAAATTGTAGTATTGTCACAGGAGACAGTTGGCCAATATTTGGGGAACCTTAAAAAATTTAGGATGATTTAGAGCAGTGGTTCTCAACCTTTTTAATGCCGCGACCCCCAACCGGTTGTAAGTCGAGGACTACTCAACCGGTCGTAAGTCGAGGACTACTCAACTGGTGCAGCACCGTTTGCAGAATGGGACTTTTGGCGGGCTCAGCAGGGCAGAGACAGCCTGGACAATTCCTATTGGCTTTTGAAAGCCAATAGAATTAGACTCTATTCAAGAGAGTCTATTCTATTGGCTTTCAAAAGCCAATAGAATAAAAGGGAGTAGCACAGCTAAGGAAAAGGGGAAAAAATGGCGGACTGCGTTGTTTGGCGACCCCCGTGAAATGGTCGTTCGACCCCAAATGGGGTCCCGACCCACAGGTTGAGAACCACTGATTTAGAGGTAGAGAAATGCTTCAAAAGGCTTTCCTTAAAAAAATCCTCCAGTCTCAATTATGTTAGTGAAATGCAGTCATTTTCCTTTTAAATTGCAGCTGCAATCAGTTCCAGGTGTTAGTTATCCAAATGTGAGCCATGTTGCCCATAAAGTCCTATATTTTTGTTGACTTGCAACACCAAAGTTTTAAATTGTAATTTGGACATGAATTAGCAAAGCACCCTATCATATCCATATACTTGGTTGTATTAGAGATTTCTATTTCATTAATAGAAAGATTTGAAATGACATGATATATTTGTTTAGAAAGCATTCACCAATGTAAGGTAGATAAATTTATAAGTATGCCTACAAGCATTTAAATCTCTTTCAGGCATTGCACACAGTGTTTTCTGTGTAGACTTTGTGGATAGAGCTTGCATGCACCCTAGTTCAGCTGCCAACTATAAGAAACTTTTCAGGGTTGACTCCTTTTTCCATCTCACAACTATTTTCCCTCAAAAGCACTATGTATATGTTTAGATGGATATAGATGTTTAGATGGATATATAAAAGCATAAACTAAAGCATGAATTTATACAGATCAAATGTAGTGGAATATTACCTGTTCTTGATATAAATACTGCTAGGGAAAAGAAATGTATGAACTTCGCTAAATGCAATGTTGCCTATTGAGTATCTTAAATAATTTCATTTTTCATACAACCAATTTTTTTTTGTGATGCTGTCTCTTCTGATTTACTTATTTTTGAAGATAATGATTAGAATTGGGTAACAAGGATGATGGTCTATAAAATAAGACATTAGATTACTCACATTATGTAGATTTGGTCATGCCATTAAACAACTTCAGTACATTATCCATAAATTACCTAGTGCCTTTTTTCTATTTGGGATTTTTAAATTATACACCCAGGTTGTTTATGTACTATTCTACTCAATTTGATGTGGGCAAAATTATATGCTTTGTAAAAGACAGCAGAACCAAATAAGCACTGCTGAATTGTGGATAATTTTAGATTACTATCCAATATTTATGTAATATTTTGATCTTGTTTAAATAATATTTTGCTATTATTCTGTAATATTTTTGTTAGCTTCCACTTTTTAAATATTAACAAAAATATGAAGTATTTTTAATGAAAAAGCTTTTTAGTAGCAGTAAAATAAGAACATATATCCCTAGTTATCTGCAGTTGTAACATTCATATCCATTATTCTAATTGTATACTGTATAAGAGTATCCTTTGCCAATATTTATTTAATAGCCTTTGTTGCATTTGATACATTGTCTAGTCACCATTTTTATAAAATTATCTCTTGTTTTTCCCCCTTTTATGCTTCACCTTTGTTGCAATAGTCATTATAATATGTATTTATACTTATGCACACTCACATTATAAAGTTGTTTAATTATAAAGAACCAATTTGTGAAATGTTTCTTTTTATATAATTTCCTCCTCTGCCCTTCCACTAGATTGTTTGACACATTTTTTTCTCTCCTGCTCCCTTGCAGGGAAATTGTATCAACCTCACAGAAGCCTTGTCTCTCTATGAAGAACAGCTTGGCAGATTATATTGTCCTGTGGACTTCTCAAAAGAAGTTGTATGTGTTCCCTCATACATGGAGCTGTATCCTTCAGTAAGAAACCATGTTTGTTAACATTCCTATTTCAGTTGGTGCTAAGTCATAGCTGACATATTAAGCCTAAAATATATATTATAGTTTAACACAGCGTACTGTCTTAATATAAGAAATTCTTGGGTAAGAACTCATAATCCTGCAAGTATACAAATATTTGTACACACTAACATTCTGTTAGAACTTTTTAATGTAAGCTGAGTTTTCCTGAGGCTTTAATCATAATTTTAGTGTCTTAATGAATCATCAAAGAATTTCTGCATTTATTAAAAAAATTATATCTGAGATGTAAAGGATGAAGCATGCTAAAATGAATTTCTTGTTTTATTTTGAAAGTAATGAAGATTTAATTTGACATACTTTCTTATACGTGTTGGGAAACTAAACTTATGAGAAAACACAAAATATTGGATTCCTTGACTATTTTTTAGATGGGTATTTTATACTATTTGGAAGAAGACTGATATTTGAAGCAGAAAGTCTGCACTACACATGCTGCATGAAATCTGTAGGCTTGCCACATGCTTTGTCTTGGCATCTTGACTCTTTAAATTATATGCTGTAGATGATTTTGAAAATTAGTCACACTATCAGTTGATAATTCTTTAATTTTTATTATTTTAATTTAAAAGCAAATGCAAAATGTATATTTTGATGAACTAGTATGTTAGTTTTGAAAGTCAACTTAGCTGAATAAGCAACAAAATTATAGCTGCTGAATGCACTGAACCTTTAGAATGTGATCATTTTATTATGTTTATTTTAGAACTTTGAACACCAGTTTTAAAAGTCAATATTAGCATTTAGTGTGATTCTGTAGATGTTTTTTTCTTCAACATTCATCAGTTTAACAGTCATGGTGTGACTTATGCATTGTCAAATGATCACTGTGCTTCCCTGAAAGAAATTAAGAGAAATGTTATTTTTTTAATAATACCGTCTAACTCACTGGGACGTTTTACAATATGTAAAAAAGTTCAGCATGAAAAAGTGACACAAAAGCACCATCATAATTTACCATCATGGTAGTGTTAAAACCTGTGATTTTGCTGGATAAGAATTACCATGAAAGTACTTGACCCTAGTTATGAACTATTTAGTTTCTTTTTTCATCACCTGTTTTTCAATTTAGAAAGATATAAATTGTTATCTTCCCATCCACAAAGAGATTTACAAGATACTTAATAATGGTATAGTGATGTACCATTATTAGTAACCATTATTGTATGCCATCCAGAGTCGCTTGTTGTGAGATGGGTGACCATATAAATGTGATTGATTGAATAAATAAGTGAATTAACTAGTATGTAGTGAAATGTCAATCAAAATCAGTCTGTGTATTTATTGTAAGTAGGGTAGAATAGTAGATCAAACAACTGTTAAAGCTATGGAGTGGACTATTTTTCCAAATTAAATATGAAAAGTTGAAATATATGTAAGAGTTCTTAGTGATTACATGCCCTTTTAGCTTTGATATTAATATTCCTAGAGTGAGAAATGTACATTAAAAATAAACAATATGCTTGAAACTCACCCTTTACCAGTTTTATCTATGGTAAATGGGAGATTCGTTTGTATAGCACAAGGCATGTCTCATTTCATTCAGTGTGATCTGGACCTAAGACATTTCTGATGTACCATGTCGAACTGAGTCATTTATGAATCCTATATTTATATTTTGTGCCAGTTGAGCCCAGCCATATGGATGGGATAAATCTTACTGACCTTAAGCCATCAATTAGCACATATGCTATTTGAATATGCATGTGGAAACCTATTAGATTATTGGATCAATGTCTCCCCGTATGCTTCTGCACATGGTGTGAAATTATATTTTTGTAAACTCTTTGTGTGTTCTGATTTTTTGTTTGCTCATTGTGTTGCTATAAGCAGATCCTTAAAATAGTTGAGAAATAGTTTCTTATTGTAATGTTGATGCAATAAGAGAGCAAGAGTGAATTCAAATGTACCATTCTTTTTTTTCAGTCTTAAAAATAATTCAATAAAATTATTTTCTTGTTAATTAAAGAAGACTGTTTATAGACTACCTCCCAAAATACAGTGTGAAGACACTCTTCCCTTCATTTTTGTGAAAGATCAACATGCTACATAGAGAAATTAAGAGATAATTTCCTGAGGTAGTTAAGAGAAGATAGTCTATTATAATCCATGATAATCCTGATAGGTATTGAATTTTATTAACACTGGAATTTACGATGTTGAATTTCTCATATACCAACAAACTAGACAATATAAAGAAAGCTATATTACAATTTCTGAATTATGTGTTGAATAAAGCCATTTAATAAACTATGATGAGCAAACTTTCAATTAATCGTTTTGATGAATGAAAAGCTATCTTTTATGTAAATTTACCTAGAGTTTTGTAGGCAAACATGAATGGAAAGCATGAATCAACATTTAATACCGTGTTTCCCCGAATATAAGCACCTCCCCAAACTAAGACCTACCCTAATTTTTTGGGGGGGGGGCTAATATAAGCCTTACCCCCAAAATAAGCCATAGTTAGGACCCTGCCCACTCCGTCACACCTCACTGCCACAATGGGGCAGGAGGCCGCACGGCACATTGCGTCGCTGCCGCCACAATGAGGTGAGGCAGTAGAGGGTGGAGCTACCCCATGTGACCTGCACCTGCTTACTGGTACTTCAGGGTCCCCCCCAGCCCATTCCTTGATTGGTGACCTTTCACTTGCCTCCCGAGCTGGACTGCCATGCTACAGCGGATGGGATGAATGGGGTAGGCTCGGACCCCCTCCGCTGTTTCAGAGCCAAGGGGGAGTGATGGCAAATGGCTCCACTGCTGCTGTGCACCGCTGGAGGGGCTTTCTTTAAGCTTCGCCCTGCAGATCACATGCCCAGGCGCAGCCACCGCCTCTTTGTCCTCCACCAACTCTCCCAGCCACCTGCCTCTGCCAGCCCATTGTCGCCTGTCTCATGGAGAAGGCAGCAACTCTGCGCAGAGATGCAGAGCAGAGAACACTTGCTTGCTGCCTGCATTGCCCCGCGTCTCCTTCTCCTTTTTGGAAATGGCAACCCTGTTTCCTACCGCTTCTCCTCTTGCCACATCTCCTCCCTCTTCCTGAAAACATTTCTTTGCTAACTTGCTTTCCAGCTCTGGTGTGTTTCTTTTCTGCTGCAGGGAAACGGAGTTTGTGGGACTAAAAAAAGTTCAGTCAGAACTTCCAACTTCTTGTGGGGAAAAAAAAAAAAGATTCCGCTTGGGAGGAGAGTGAAAGTTGCTGGTCAAGGAATGGCCTGGCAGGGGGGGCAGTTCCACCCCTCCCCCACCTGCCTCACCTCATGGCACCGGTGCAATGTGCTGCGTGGCCTCCTGCCACAAGTGGCCACAGCAGAAGTGGGCCGGCAGCCACGTGGGTTGCTGGATGGGGCTGTTGGTGCCCCCGAGGCGAGGTAGGTGGCACGAAAAATATAAGACACCTGCAAAATTAAGACCTAATGCCTCTTTTGGAGGCAAAAATAATATAAGACAGGGTCTTACTTTTGGGGAAACACAGTAGTGGTTTTAAAACACAGGTTTATACAAAATCATTTTTCTGAAGATCAGGTGGTATTTATTTCTTTTTTAAAATTGGTGATAAAATATTGCAGCTGAGAGATCTATAGAGAGCAAGTGGAACATTTTAAATATCTAGGTTTGCATTGAATTGTACAATACCTATATTTATATTTAATTATAGTATTTTTTGAAATACCCTCATGTCTTAATTTGAAATTTTTTTGTTAAATGTATTTGCCACCTATCTTGCCAGGGGGCTACTCTAGACAGAAGTCATACAAGACTTATAATGAACCTAGAGCTACCTTTATAAAATACATGGAACTAGTTTCTTCCACTTTCCTAAAAAAAGAGGAAACAATTTTGATTCATTGATACCTAGGTTGTGGAATATTTCCAGCAGTTTCACTTGCACATAAGATAATGTTTCAGGATTTTATTTCAGAACTGAAATCAACATGGGTTCTCATTTTAAAGTATTCCCTTCTTGCCCTAATTTTTATTCTTGTTATATTGGAATAGAATGTAATGGTTATGTTGGGAGAAATAATATATTTTTAGTTCAAAGAATGTTTTGTGAAAGTCTTATCTAGTCTGGAGGCCTCCCATAATACATAGCTGTTTACCAAACAACCTTTTCTGTTGGTTGAATAGATTGAGGATAAATTGAAATGTTAAAACCTTGTTTTAAATAAACCATCTCTGTAGTTGCATTGCACTTGTTTTCCCTTTTGTGAGGATAAGATTTTGAGAAGTTACCTTTGACAGATGAATGCTTTTCAGAATTTTATTTACACATTTAACTGGCATATCATTGAGATGGCCTCTTCATATAGACACACCAGAATCAAACATGGCTGCCCTGACTTCTCAGTTCTTGCTGCTTCCATCATTGTAGTTGAATTTCATTTTGTTAAGGGAAATAAAGTTTGATAACTAATATGACCTTCCTTAAAGAAACTGCTGGCGTTTGATTAATTACAGTACACTAGTTCAAATAGATATGCCACAATTACTGCACTGCCTAGAATTGTTATATTCACTTTGGCCTCTAGAATGCAATAGCTAAAATAAAGATTTCACTTTCTAAAATAAATTATTCTAGTATTTGTCAGTTTTATTGAATCTCTGTATTTAAGTATGTTAAAGTTTACAGAATGTATTTTGATTAAGAATATTTATTATGACCTCAAAGAATGTAAGTTTGTAACCATTATGCAGAATATCGTTATGTCTATATCTGGCATCCTCTGTTTCCAGTCTTTAATAGGAATTACATTGTTCACGTGTTCTAGAAGAGGGCTTTTCAACCTGTCGTATGCATGCCACTGGTGGTACTTTGGCACCTGGCAGGTGGTATGTGTACCACAGGTTGAAAAGCACTGTAAAAAAAGTGTAAAAGTGGATGAGCTGAAGTGGCGGCAGTGCCGAAGAGGCCTGGGGGAGAGTCAGCTGGAGCTGCACTGATGCTGGGGCTCTGTTGAGAGCCCAGGATCTGCACGTGCAGCTACAGCTGATCAGCACTTCCAGCAGCGGCAGGTGGGGTGGCCAGCAGCCACACACAGGCATCGGGCAGAGATTCAGCCGGAGCAGCAGTGTTGCCAGGGCTCTACTGAAAGCCCATGATCGGGGTGCGCAGCTCCAGCTGATCAGCGCTTCTGTGCACCCGGAAGAGAGGAGGGAGAGAGGAGAGGATATAAAAGGAGGAGGAGGGGAGTGAAGAGAGGATATAAAAGGAGGAGTAAAACCAATACTTTTTTCTTTCTTTTTTTTACAGTTTGTAACATTTTATTAGATTATAGAATAAAATACAAAAATATAAAGCAAATAGTAGGACACAGTGCGGAGGAAAAAGGGAAAGAAAAGTGAGGGGGAGAAGGGAAAAAGAAAAGGCATTGACTTTCAACTTCCTCTGTTGCAGTAGAATGAAGCATTAACATCAAACCTCAACATTTTCCATAATAGTATAAACTAGCCATTTCTATAACAACAAATCAATCTAATTAGTACAACCCAAAATTCCCTCCCCCCCCGTTTTTAGTCATCAAGTTTTTGACCCCTTGCTAAGCACTGGTGGTATTCGAATATTGCCATGTCCTAAAAGTGGTACAATCTATGAAAAGGCTGAAAAGCCCTGGCCTATGGTATACACCTATTACAATGTCATTTTTCCCCCTTTTATATTGATCCAAATACATTCAAGACAGTTTTCATCGTTGTGCTCTATATAGTTATTTCTTGTATATAGTGCAACTTCACCTCTTTTATTTGGTCTGTTTCTTTTAAACAATTTAAATCCCTATAGCTGTATATTCCATTTGTTGGTTTCATCCCACCAAGTTTCCATAATGGCAACAATATCATATCTACCCTTGTTTACTTGAATTTCTAATTCATCCTGTTTATTACTCATATTCTGTGCATTGGTTTATAGACATTTGAGTCCATTTTGACTGACCCTGTGTTTACTTTCTACATAGCCTGTTTTGTGCCTGAGTTCCACTATTTCCTTACCACCTGAATTGTTTTAGTTGACAAAATTGAAATACAATTTCTATACAATACACTGACTAAAGTGAAGGATTTATGTATGGCTTACTCTTGTAAATTAATTTCCTATTTCTAATTCAGTTAAGAGCCTTTGATCTGATCTACCATCATCCAAATAATTTAATAAATAAATCTTTAGCCTCTAATTCGCTTTTCTAACAGCTTTTATTGATTTTTTGATATCACTAAATATAAGCATGCATAAATTACAGTAGAATGATCTAGATTTTGATCCAGATGAACCTTGTGTGCTTATTTTAGATCACATCCCATATTATATAACTATGCAGAAAGGTAGCAGGCATACAGTACAGTATTTCTTTACCATAGGGAAGCATGTTGGGATTGCCACAAACATTATTAGAAAAATACTACTTAGAGAGCAACCTGGCACCTTCCAACTATGTTGTAACTAAAATTCCCATGCAGCGGAATGAAAGTTCTAGAAAACAAACTTAAAACAAACTTAAAGTTCTAGAAAACAAACTTAAAACACACTTAAAACAAACTTAAAACTACATTACTGTAGTTCCTACTGATAGACCTCCAGCAGGGTGTACTATTTCCCTATGCTTGGCCTGTTAATGAGGCAGAAGGAAGTGATAAGAGAAGCTTTAAAAGCTGCATACATTTTCAAATGTTCTCCTACATAAAACATATGCAGTTCCCCACAAACAGAAGCAAAATACAAACAGAATACTAGCTCATTGCAAAAAAATTACTATCACTGTCAACTTCCTATTTCCAAGTTTAGCCTTTGGGCTTAGCTTTAGATTTATACTGGACAATCCATGACCAACTCTAGATCATTGTTTCAGACATATGTCCTTACCAGATTCTTCAATGCCTTCAACAATGACAGCTTCCAATATACTGCCTTCACCACAAATGTTTTTAAAATTTCAAGGAGATATTCAGATACAGTCAGGTCCAGAAATATTGGGAGATCAACACAATTCGAACATCTTTGGTTCTATACACCACCACAATGGAGTTGGAATGAAACAAACACAATGTGCTTTAACTGCAGACTGTCAGCTTTAATTTGAGGGTATGTACATCCAACTCAGGTGAATGGGGTAGGACTTACAGCAGTTTGCATATGTGCCTCCCACTTGTTAAGGGACCAAAGGTAATGGGACAGAATAATAATCATAAATCAAACTTTCCCTTCTTAATACTTGGTTGCAAATCCTTTGCAGTCAATCACAGCCTGAAGTCTGGAACGCATAGACATCACCAGATGCTGGGTTTCATCCCTGGTGATGCTCTGCCAGGCCTCTACTGCAACTGTCTTCAGTTCCTGCTTGTTCTTGGGGCATGTTCTCTTCAGTTTTGTCTTCAGCAAGTGAAATGCATGCTCAATGGGATTCAGGTCAGATGATTTGGCCATTGCATAACATTCCACTTCTGTCCCTTCACAAACTCTTTGGTTGCTTTTGCAGTATGCTTTGGGTCATTGTCCATCTGCACTGTGAAGCACCGTCCAATGAGTTCTGCAACATTTGGCTGAATGTGAGCAGATAATATTGCCCAAAACACTTCAGAATTCATCCTGCTGCTTTTGTCAGCAGTCACATCATCAATAAATACAAGAGAACCAGTTTCATTGGCAGCCATACATGCCCACGCTATGACACTACCACCACCATGCTTCACTGATGAGGTGGTATGCTTAGGATCATGAGCAGTTCCTTTCCTTCTCCATACTCTTCTCTTCCCATCACTCTGGTACAAGTTGATCTTGGTCTCATCTGTCCATAGGATCTTGTTCCAGAACTGTGAAGGCTTTGTTAGATGTTGTTTGGCAAACTCTAATCTGGCCTTCCTGTTTTTGAGGCTCACCAATGATTTGCATCTTGTGGTGAACCCTCTGTATTCACTCTGGTGAAGTCGTCTCTTGATGGTTGACTTTGACACACATACACCTACCTCCTGGAGAGTGTTCTTGATCTGGCCAACTGTTGTGAAGGGTGTTTTCTTCACCAGGGAAAGAATTCTTCGGTCATCCACCACAGTTGTTTTCTGTGGTCTCCTGGGTCTTTTGGTGTTGCTGAGCTCACCGGTGTGTTCCTTCTTTTTGAGAATGTTCCAAACAATTATTTTGGCCACGCCTAATGTTCTTGCTATCTCTCTGATGGGTTTGTTTTGTTTCTTCAGCCTAATGATGGCTTGCTTCACTGATACTGACAACTCTTTGGATCTCATCTTGAGAGTTGACAGCAACAGATTCCAAATGCAAATAGCACACTTGAAATGAATTCTGGGCCTTTTATCTGCACATTGTAATTGGGGTAATGAGGGAATATCACATACCTGGCCATGGAACAACTGAGAAGCCAATTGTCCCATTATCTTTGGTCCCTTAACAAGTGGGAGGCACATATGCAAACTGCTATCAGTCCTACCCCATTCACCTAAGTTGGATGTACATACCCTCAAATTAAAGCTGACAGTCTGCAGTTAAAGCACATTGTGTTTGTTTCATTCCAACTCCATTGTGGTGGTGTATAGAGCCAAAGATGTTCAAATTGTGTCGATGTCCCAATATTTCTGGACCTGACTATGTATCTACCTAGAAAATAGCCCTTGTTGAGCTGTATGGCAAAGTCCACAGGAAATGTTTTATCACATTTTGTATCATGCCAAAATGATTTATGATAATTTTTATCTCTTAAAATGTTTTATAAAATTCCAAATTTCAATTCTATGGAAGTCATGGTTTGGATTTTGGATGCATACTATAAGTTAGCCTATTTGAGGTATCTTGTTTCAAAAATTGTTGCCTGCAATTCACTGTTGTGCCCAGTTAAAGGTTACAGATACAAGAGATTTAGCAATATATAGATGACTGTTGTTACTCAGTGATTTTTGTTCTTCACATTTCCATTAAGATATGAGGGAATCTCTCCTACTTTATTTATTAAATTTATAAACCACTCCAGTCTATATAAATCTGGGCAGCTTAGAGCAGGGCTTTTCAACCTTTTCACCCATTGTACCACTTTTAGGATATGATATGGCAACATTTGAGTACCACCAGTCGTCTAGCAAGGTGTCAAAAACCTGATGACCAAAAAAAAAAAGGAAAAAGGAAAAAGGTGATAAAGTACAGGTAGTCCTCGACCTACAACAGTTTGCTTAGTGACTGTTCAAAGTTACAATAGCACTGAAAAAGCCACAGCCGAGCAAGACACCTGCCTGCCTGCCTGATGGCGCTCTTCCTCCTGTCTGAAGTTTTCATTATTGTGAGCATTTCTGCTGAGAATTGGCAGTGGGGGTGGGGTGGGGGGTTTTTGGTTTTTATTCCCCCGTCTGCTGGGTGGTTGCAGCAGGTTTTGGTCACTTCACATGACCCTGGAACACTGTGACAATCATAAATATAAATCAGTTGCCAAGCATCTGAATGTAAATCACAAGTCCCTGGAGATGCTGCAACATTCCAGCTGATTGATGCTTCTTCAGGCTCAACAGAAGCACCAGCATCAGCGCTGAGCTCCAGCTGGAGCCTGGCACTGATACTGGCGATTCCACTGAGCCCTGACA